CGAACCTGTAATTGTCGTCACTTTTGGGCTCCTGAGGCTTGCATATGGGGGAAGTATGAGGCGGGAGCCTCGTCTGTGAGTGAACTGTGAGGAAGTCTCAGGCGGGAGCCCCCTCCCTATGGGGCCCGCACTTCATGTTGGTAATCTCAGCGGGTCATCCTCGAACCTGTAACTGTCGTCACTTTTGGGCTCCTGAGGCCTGCATATGGGGGAAGTATCAGGCGGGAGCCTCGTCTGTGAGTGAACTGTGTGGAAGTCTCAGGCGGGAGCCCCCTCCTTCATCCTCGAACTTGTAACTGTCGTCACTTTTGGGCTCCTGAGGCTTGAGTATGGGGGAAGTAGCATGCGGGAGCCTCGTTTGTGAGTGAACTGTGAGGAAGGCTCGGGCGGGAGCCCCTTCCTATGAGGCCCCTTCCTCCGGGTCGGCCTCCAGCGCGCGCTTCCTTTGGGTCGTCCTCCGGCGCGTATCCGCCGGGACGCACGTCGTCCGCTTTCTCTGGGTCGTGTTCCGCACGAGGAGGAGGAGGAGAAAGGAGGAGGAAGGAGGATGCAGGACGAGAACGAGAAGCAGGAGGGAGGAGGAGGAGGAGGAGGAGGAGGAGGAGGAGGAGGAAGCAGAGGGCGAGAAGGACGAGGAGGACATGGAGGAAGAGGCGTGCCCTAGGAGGCCCCAGGATGTCCCAGGAGGCCCGGAAGGCTCCAGGAGGCCCCAAGAGGCCCCAAGAGTCCCCAGGAGGCAGGAAGCCTAAGGAGGAGGCAGGAGGAGGGGGAGGCGGAGGAGGAGAGGGGGAAGATGGAGACGGGGAGAAGGAGGAGGCGGAGGAGGGAGAGGGAGAAGAGGAAGATGGAGTGGGGAGGCGGGGAGGTGGAGGAGGAGGAGGAGGAGGAGGAGGAGGAGGAGGAGGAGGAGGAGGAGGAGGAGGAGGAAGGAGGAGGAGGGGAGGAGGAGGAGAGGAGGAGGAGGAGGAGGAGGAGGAGGAGGAGGGAGAGGGAAATCAGCAGGAGGAGGATGCAGGAGGCAGGAGGAGCATGGGGAATGGGGGGAGGAGGCATAACGAGGATGAGGAAAAGGAGGAGGGGGAGGAGCAGCAGGAGGAGGAGGAGGAGGAGGAGGAGGAGGAGGAGGAGGTGGTGGTGGTGGTGGTGGAGGGGTCAAGAGGAGGAGGCAGGGGTTGAGGCAGGAGGAGGAGGAGGAGGAGGAGGAGGAGGAGGAGGAGGAGGCAGGAGGAAAAGGAGGAGGCAGGAGTAGGTGGGAGAAGCGAGGGGCAGGAGAAGATCCCCAGGCAAGCTAAACATTTCTCATGTGGGGTCCTACTGTCGGAGTAATTCCTTTCCAATGATCCATGCTGGCGGTGGGTTGAATGAGCTGCACTTCGACCGCAGTTTTTCCCGCGCGTGCCAACTTTGAGTCTGGGGGAGCGGGGAAGTGTCCACTCATGGGTCCTTCTACCCTACCTCTACCCTTTCCCCGTTTTCCCCTCTGTTGGGCCTCCTCGGAGGCCCTCGTCGCCACCGCTGGACTCGCCCCGAAATCCTGGGCAGAACGCACCCCGGGAGAGGTCCAGAGAGTAGTGGCATGGGCACCCTTTGCAAGGGCACCCTCGAGGGCGCGAAGTTCTTCGCGCTTCGCGCTTCGCGGTTCGGCTCCGATTCCTCCTCTTCCTCCTCGTCTCTCCTGGGAGGCGGCGCGAGAGCGCGAAGTTATTCGCACTTCGCGCTTCGCGCAGCGCGAAGCGCGAAGTTGGGAGCCCTTGCTTTGGTTCCCCCAGGGGGGGGGGGGGGCGGCCCAGGATCCGTGCGGGCGTACAGCTGGCGCGCCCCGACCGCCCCACTTCGATGCGACCCGTCCGCTTCGACATCGGTTCCGCCCGGCCAGGCCCGATTCGGCTCCGGCGGCATCCCGACCCAGACCTCCCACGTATTGAAACAATCAAGGCGAGGCGGAGGTTTTTTTCGATTTTCGGCCTCTAGGGGCCCTCGCCGGGCCCCGGGACCGTCAAAAAACGACTCAGGATCAAAAGCCCCGGGACCGTCAGAAAACGACTCGGGATCAAAAACAGGTCCTGGGGAATGGGTCGAGACTTCGGGGGACCGCGTATTGAAAAAATCACGACGTCGGATCTCTGGGCCCGATTCGGCTCCGGCGGCATCCCGACGTTCCGATGCGGCCCGGGCCTGCATGGCCCCATTGAGCGTCCGGGCGAAGCCGATGTGATTCGATCTCGGCCCCGTGCCAGTGCAGCCCTGCCCAAAGGCACATCGCGATGGCCCGATCCGACGTCCCGGTGTGATGCTCACTGATCCTGCCCCCTTCGGGCACTCGTCTCTTCTCCTGCCTGTCGCGCCCCATAGGTCACCCATCGGGGCGCGCGCGACCAGGGTCAGCGCTAATTCGGGGGTGGACAGACCTCCTCCCCTGACACGTCGACTAAGGAATTGGCCGTTTTCGGTTCGCGAGAGGGCGTCGCGGCCGTCATTTTTGCGGGTCCAGGTCCGTCGGTTTCGGTCCCAGGCCGTTTTCATTAAGGGGAGGTTTACTAAAGGGAGGTTTGTCCACCGCTGACTAATAAGGAGGGGCTAGTCGATCTCCTCTGAGGTCCCATCTGGCCGAGCCCGGGCTTCTGGGAGCCGCGCCGGTCCGACCCCCCCCCTCTTCCCTGACCTTCCAGAGAGCTACTTTTTAGCACGGGAGGCCTAAAACCTAAAACACGGAACGAAACAGCCTAAAACCAAGACGTAGAATAGCTCTGGGGGTTTTTAAGTCGCGTGCTATTTTTTAGCCCTCCGCCCCTCCGCTGGATCTGCTGTGCGGCCGGCCCGGGTTCGGGACGCGGCCCTGGCTGGCCGGGGTCAGCGCTGACCCGGCTCGGCGCGTCCTCGAAAGTTTAAGAAACATGAGTCAATTTCTTTATCATCATGCTTTATTTAAACATAGAACGGATGTTTGGTTTCGTGATACAGAAACTTTGCGTTGAGCCCACCAGGGGCGCGGAGGTGGTCCGACTTCGCGCTTCGCGGCCCCAGCCGCAGATCAGGAGGAAAAGAAACACACAGACACAATTAATCCTCGATTCCGCAGAAAATATAGGAAAATATGGGAAGTGGGGGGGAAGTCAAAAACCCAGAAAATATGGGAAACTATAGGGATTTGTTTTATGTGTGTGTATTTATTTGTGTGTCCTGGGGCCCCTTCAGCAGAGGCGGTCCTCTTTCCGGGGGGGGGGGGGGGCTGCGGCGCCAGGGCGCGCCAGCTGATCGCGCCTGGCGCCTCGCGCGCGGCGTGAATGACGCGCGGCGACCGGGCTCAGCTGCTGTGCTGCACGCCGCAGGGTCCAGTTGTTCGATCCGATCGATCTTGCTCGATAGCGAGTTCGGCCAGTTCGGTCCGATTCGATCTCGGGTGTCCAGCGATCCGACGCAGCCTGATACCTGAGAGACGCACTTGTGAAGCCTGACGCTGCCGGCCCGATTGGATTCCGAGTCTGCTCATATGCAGCCCGATGCGACGCACGTTCCGATCCGATCCGATTTTCCGATTCGGTGCCGGCTGATCCTGGTCTGCCCTGATGCGAGAACATCTTGTTGTCCTGTTTTGCTTCGACAGCAGACATCCTGCCGTCCCACCGCGCAGGTGCTCAGGCCTCGTCGTGCTTCCATGCAGGCCGTTCCAGGCAGCGCCGGCACTCGGCGCGGCTCGCCCTTCGGCGGAAGCTGGCGGAAGCAACAGGGAGACGTCAACATTTCTGGATCCAGTGCTTCCAGAGAGTTGCGGTAGGTTCGCGTCGTATCGGCCGGCGGCGACCCCGCCGCCGGCGTTAAGATTGAACGCCACCACCGACCCGGAACCAGTCGATGTTGAACGATCGGACGCTGCGGAAGCGGCTCGCGATCGTTCTAGGTTGAACGATCCCCGCGGTGTCAGGGACCGACGCTCTGGGCGACACGACACGAGCGTGCGGCACGCGCGCGGGCCCTGGGGTCGGGGCCCCCGAAGCCATGGCACCGCAGGCCAGGACGTGGTATGCTTTTTCCATGCGGCGGGAGCGAAGCACGGCGAGAACGCGTCTCGCCCCGTTGGCTGCAGCTCCCCTCGGTTGCGCCATTGTTTATCATCTGTGTATGTCTCTTCGTTTTGTTTTGTTTCTTGGTTTGCCGGGGTCTCCTTTTACAGGTCCCTGATGGAAGGGAGGAGGAGGAGGAGGAGGAGGAGGAGGAGGAGGAGGAGGAGGAGGCGGCAGAGTAAGAAGGACTAACAAGGAGGAGGCGGAGGAGGAGGAGGACGAGGAGGAGGTGGAGGAGGAGGAGGAGGAGGAGCAGGAGCTCTCGAGCCCATTTCTGGGACTGGCTTTTTGCCCAGGTCGTCTTCGCGGGCCTTGGGGCCCGAGAACGGGCACGCGCCCTCACTAGCAACAGGTGCATTCATGTTCTTGTCTCCTCCTCCTCCTCCTCCTCCTCCTCTTCACATGGCGATCATGATCTCCGCTGCCTCTTCTCGGCCTCTGCGAGCGCGGGTGGAATTGGATGGAGGGAGGAGGAGGAGGAGGAGGAGGAGGAGGAGGTGAGGAGGAGGGAGGAGGACGGGTAGGAGGGAGGAGGGGAGGAGGAGGAGGCAGGAGGAGGAGGAGAGGAGGAGGAGGAGGAGGAGGTGGAGGAAGGAGGAGGAGGAGGAGTAGGAGGAGGAGGAGGAGGAAGGAGGAGGAGGAGGAGGGGGAGGAGGAGGAGGAGGAGGAGAGGAGAGGAGGAGGAGGAGGAGGAGGGGGGAAGGAGGAGGAGGAGAGAGGAGAGGAGGAGAGGATAAGAAGAAGAGGAGGAGGAGGAGGTAGGAGGATGGAGGAGGAGGAGTGGAGGGAGGGAGAAGGAGGAGGGAGGAGGAGGAGGAGGAGGAGAGGGAGGAGGAGGAGGAGAGGAGGAGGAGGAAGGATGAGGAGGAGTGGAGCGCATGGGGGAGAAGGGGGGGATGACGAGGAGGTGGGTTCCGCGCGTGTCCTCCTACCTGGCAGGCGCGCGCGAGAAGAAGGCTAGGCCCCCCGCGGAGCGCAAGGAGTGGAGCACCGACGTGACGACCGTGATGATCAGGCCTGATAGGGAGAAGGAGGAGGAGGAGGAGGATGATGAGGAGGAGAACAACGAGGAGGAGGCGGAGGAGAAGGAGGAGGAGGAGGAGGAGGAGGAGGAGTTGGAGGAGGAGTGGAAGAATGATGATGAGGAGGAACAATTACTTCTTCTGCTCTCTTCCGCCTCCTCCTCCTGCTTCTGATCCTCCTTATCCTCCTCCTCCTCCTCCTCCTCCTCCTCCTCCTCCTCCTCGTCTTTAGTCCTTCTCACCCTGCCGCCTCCTCCGCCTATTTTCCTCCTCCTCCTCCTTCTCCTCCTCCTCAGTCCTTCTTACTCTTCCATTTCCTCCTCCTCCTCCTCCTCATTCTCCACCTCCCCCTCTTCTGCTCCCATTATTTCTCCTCCTGCTTCTCCTCAAACACATGTGGCTCGAGGCTTCTCCGTACCCATTTGGGCTCTGGGCAGTTTCGACGTCACGTCCCACGCCTCCACGTGGCGCTTGGGGGACGCCCTGGCTGCCGCACCGTGATTGCAGCTTTTCTGGGCGACGAAGTGGGACGCATCGTGAGAACAGTAGCGGTCTACCTGAAGCTCTCCGGTCTCCGGCAGGTCCTGGCGCCCTTCAGCCGGCTCGTCTTTGTGCACCTGGCCGACTTGACGGGGTTGGTTCACGTGTTCGACCTGGGCATGGTTTGCCTCGGCTACTGGCTGCGCTGACACTCCTGTCACGAGGATGCCCTTCGTGCAGATACAAGTGCTGTGCGCTGCCCGTCGGCGCGCCGTCTGCTACCGTGCCGCAATGGGCCCGCGCACCAAAGGCTGGGCAGTGGCTGGTCGCACGGACCTTCGGTGCGTTCTCAGGTTCAGTGCCGCAGTGGGCCAGTGCCTCGTGGGCTGCTCGGATTGGGGGGCGGTTTTCAAACCGTTCGGCCTCTACGCCAATGCTTGGATCGGCATGTGCGAGAAAGGCGTGCAGTGACAACTATTTCTGTCGGTGCGTAGCTCGCGGTGGGAGGCGAAGCTGGCCCCGACCGTTATCAGTTACATCGTTGGGATCAGCACGTGCGAGAAGGCAGGCAGTCGTGGACAGTGGCAACTATCTGTATCGGTGCGAGGCTCAGCGACGGCGGTCCGTCGGCACGTTTTTTCCTGCAGTCCCAGTGGACCAGCTGAGATAAGTGCTTGGATCAAGGCTGGTGTTTTTTTCTTTGGTGGGATTTGGTTCTGGCCTGTCACACTCTGTTTTGATTGGGTCATACACTTTCTTGCTTGGTGTTCGGTTGGCGGCGTGCTGGCTTCAGTATTTTCCATCCGCATCTTTCAGTCAGTTCAGTGTTGTCAGGCATATTGCCGGGGCCGTTATTTTCGCTGTGTCGTTCGTTGGGTGCAGGAGGGAAGAAACTACACATTTGTTGCTGTCTTGCAAGGTTGTCTGTGGAGGAGGCGATCGGATTGACACACGTGAAAGGTTGCCCAGTTCTCTGTGGTGCAAACCATAGTAGGGCCGAATCGAGCCGAGTTCTTTTCAGCCAAGTTTGTTACGCTATCAGTGTGTGGTGAGGCATCCATTTGATGTATGTACGGGGTGCTCGTCTTCCTCAAGCTTTGGCCATGTACCCGCACTGAGGTCCGTCTTCTGGTTCGCCTTCTTCGTGGGTGAGCTCCAGGGGCGGCCTTTAGAGTGCTGAATCAGATCGCACCGCGATGGGGCCCATTCCATTCCCTTCCATTCCTCCTCCTGCTTCTCCCTCCTCCCTCCAGCCTCGCCCCCTCTCCCTCTTCCTCCTCTAGCCGTCGAGTGCCAGCTCGGCCCGAGGCGGTGTGGTTCAAATGCGTTCGCGGGCCCAGCACGTGGAGGCTCGCCGCACCGCCTCCGCCTCTGCCTCTCGTGCCCGCGGCCCCCCCCGCTGCCCGCTGGGCGCCGCCGCGCTGCGAGGAGGGCGCCTCCGCTCGCTGGGCGCCGCCGCTCGCCGGGCGCCCGCTGCGCTCCCGCCGCGCCGCCGCGGGGCGCCGCGCCCGGGCAGGGCGGGCGCGGGCGAGAGCGGCGCAGGCGCTGCTCCGGGCCTTCGGCGGCCTCGCCCTCCGCGGACGGCGGCTGCTCGAGCCCCGAGGACGACGACGAGCGGCGACCACCCGAGGATGGGGCGCCAGGGGCCGCCGCGTCGCCCCCAACGGGGCGGTTGCGGGGGGCGGCTGCCCTTGATGTGGTGAGGGCGGACGCGGCGCCGCCAGTGGAGAGGGCCCGAGGAGGCTCCGCGCGCGGGGGCGGGGGGCGTGCAGCACGCTGATCCCGATAGCGCCGCTCGAGAACGAGCTGCGGATGGCTTCCGATTTCCTGCAGGAGTTTGGAAGCGGGCGGGCCACATCGAGTCCCTGAAGTTCCCGGTGGCTCTGGCTGGCTGCGCTGCTGCAGCGGCCGTGCTGCTCCTCGTGGTCGCCAGCCTGGCTCGCCGCCGCGGTGCCTAGTGCCAGGCAGGCGCGACGGCCCGCGGCTGCGCCGCGTGAGTGCGCCTCTTCGGGGGTTCAGTCACGCACCTCACCTCCCATTGGAGAGAGTTCCTGGGGGAGCGGCTTGGCGCATGGGGCGTCTCAGCTTTCGCATTCCTCCTCGTTGGCTTCAACCTCCACTTCGACGCCACTTCGCTGGGCGTCTCCTACAAGATGCAGGGGGGCGCCGAGGCGCGCGCGACGGCGCGCTACGCGGCGGCCCCCGCGGTCAGGGAAGCTTGCGCCGTGCACCGCGAGTCCTCGAATCCATGTCTAAGCGCGGCCCCGAGACCCTCTGGGCACTGGGGCCAGGCGCGTGGGAACGTGTCCAGAGCGACGCAGCAAGGCCGGCCGAATCTTGGAGGCAACGGCAACGTACTGAGGAGGAGGAGGGGGAGGGGGAGGGGGAGGAAGAGGAGGAGGAGGAGGAAAGCAGGAGGAGGAGGAGGAGGAGGAAAGCAGGAGGAGGAGGAGGAGGAGGACATTGCCATCGACATTGCTCACGAGCCCACTTAGGGGGACCTAGCTGACTGGAACACTGTGAACCTCTGGACGAACCTGCTCGCATCTGGCAGGGTGGCAGCAGTTTTGACTGGCCCTCCGTGTGCAAGGTGATTAGCGGTACGATACATCGCTGCCCCCGGGTCGCGGAACCTCCCATCGACCCCCGCGTTCCACGGAATATCCTTGGAGTATAGGCTATGACAGCACGAAAGAAAAACCTCAGTTATACTTAGGGGGGCCAGTTGCTTCGTATCCTGACTAGCTTCTTGAAACTAACTTGGAGGCATGGGGTCCCAATAGTCATGGAGCACCCAACGTCGTGCACATCAAGAGGAGGCGAGCCCAGCGCCTGGCAGTTGCCAGGTCTGAAGAAGTTAGCGGAGCAGCAGCATGTCTGGGCACACGTAATCAATCAGTGCCACTTGAGGTGCTGCGATTCAGCCCGCCGCCCTTCTTTTTTGCAATTCATGTGCCGTAGGTCTCCGTAAGGGCTTCGCCCCCTGCTGCCGGCCCCCTCTCCATCATAATGGAATATAGCAGAGTCGTGTCGGTGCGTCTCGGCGCTGTCTTGGCGCACCTGGGGACATCATGCGGGGGCGGATCATAGGAGTCATCAGCGCACATTGAAACGTTGGCGTTATCTTAGACGCCTTCGGCGAATCACCGCCGCCCCCTGCCTGTTTGGAAGCGCCTGCGTGGCCGGAAGTTTCCTCTCAGAGAATTGCCTCGTTTGGGGACAACCGTGTGAAAATCTGGAAGCGTGCCCAAACACCGTTCTCAGGACTTCTTCAACGCCACGGGTTAATCTGACTGCTGCGTCCTGAACCGTGCCACAACACCAAGCCTAGGACTTCAACTCTGAGAAGCAACGTAACTGTTGCACCCTGGCAACCCTGAATCGCTCAAAGCCAGTATTCCTGGCACGTTAACCATGAGAACCAATAGCACTCTCGTATGGTTTAATCGAGTTTGCGCGGCGTTGTAGCGAGAGCCACATTTTGAAAACGACCTGTCCTCAATATGTGAAGCTCTCGCAAATCTTTAACATGCATGTTTTCGCGGTGCTTCAGCGAGAGCCACACTCTGAAAACCAACCGCCCTCCATCCGTGAAGCTTTTACAAATATTCAAAACGAACGTTCGTGGTGCTGCAGCGAGAGCCACACTTTGAAATCCGACCGCCCTCAACCCGTGAGGCGTTTGCAAATATTCAAAACGAGCGTTCGCGGTGCTGCAGCGGGAGCCACATTTTGAAAAGGGCCCGCCCTCAATGTGCCAAGGTCTTGCAATATTTTTACACGAGTGTGCGCAACGCTAATGCGAGACACATGTTGAAAGCGACCCGCTCTCAATCCGTGGAGCTCTTACCCAAGGGCGTAAAAGACGCCCCCTACCCTGGTTTACGAGGCGCTGCGCGCCGAAACTCCTGTGGGCTGACAGGGTAAACCCTGCAGATCGCGCGTGTCGCGCGGCGTCCTGGTGGCTTTCTGGCCTGTGGGAGCTCCCAGGAGGTTTACAGACCACGCACTTGTAACCCAGGGTAGGGGCGTTTTTGCATGCCTCAACTTACAGTTGTTTCAAACGAATGTTCGTGGTGTTGCAGCGAGAGCCACATTTTGAAAACCACCCGCCCTCAATCCGTGAAGCTCTTGCACATCTTTAAAACGAGTGTGCGCGGCGCTAAGGCGAGAGCCAGATTTTGAAAGCCACCCGCCCTCCATCTACGAGGTTATTGTCAATGCTTACGCGTCAGGCTCGTAAATGGTCAGGAAGTCTCAGGCGAAACGCCTGGCCCGACCTTCCGATTGGCCTCGGGGTGCGACAGGGAGAAGTTATCCATAAGGAAAAGGAGTAGAGGAGGAGGAATCAGAGGAGGAGGAGGAGGAGGGAGGAGGAGGAGGAGGAGGAGGAGGAGGAGAGGAGGAGGAGGAGGAGGCGGAGGAGGCGGAGGAACAGGAGCAGGAGCAGGAGCAGGAGCAGGAGGAGGAAGGAGGAGGAGACCTGGAGAGGGAGGAGGAGGAGGAGGAGGAGGAGGAGGGAGGAGGGACCTGCTCCTCCTCCTCCTCCTCCTCCTCCTCCTCCTCGTCTTGCTGCCCACGACCGCACTCCTCCTCTTCCTTGCCCGGCGACCAGGCAGCTCCCGAGGCAGTTCACGCAGGTGATGCTCTTCGAGGCTCCAAGGGGGGAGACGCCCGTCAGTCTTCCAAGGGATCCGGGCGTCTCGACAAGGCACATCTGCGGGGCTTTCGGCCACCCGGGGCCTCCACCAGGTCCCAGGACGGTCCAGAAACCACTCGGGAGGGACCGCTGGCCCTGAGGACAGGGTCGGACTTTCCATGGGCCCCGTCTTGAAAAATCGAGGCATCGGATCTTTCGGTTCTGCGTCCCGAAAAAGTCCAGACTGTCGGCGGTTCCACGAGTTCGCCCTTTCTAAGCCTCCTGGTGCGCTCTCATCGCTCTGGCTGGGCCCCCTTCAACCTTACGGCCAGAGCGTAACCCAGGAGAGGTCTGGGGGGGCGATTCTGCAGAGGACCCAGACCTCCGACGCCTTGAAGCATACAACGAGGACGGCCAGCCTTTCAACGATTTGGGCCACGGGGGGGGCGGCCGTTTTCGGACCCCGGGGCTGTCAAACGTGGAGAAAGATGGCCCCGGCGGGCGGGATGGGCGGGATGGCGGCAGCCCCTCCCCACCCCCGCGGCCACGTGCCGCAGAGGCGCCACAGAGGGCCGCGCTGGCAGCAGGCTGGGAAAACTGTGCACCCGCATGGAGTCCAGGAGCAAGTCCCTGGATGTCAGGAGGGGAAAAAACACACAGACACAATTAATCGTCGACTCCCAGGAGAACATGGGAAAATATGGGAAGTGAGAGGAAGACAAAAACCCATAAGATATGGGAAAATATGGGGAATCCTGTTATTTGTGTGTATTTATTCGTGTGTCCCAGGGCCCCTTCAGGATGGCTCGAGGGCCCTGGGGGGCCAGGCCGGGAGAGGCCAGGCGTCTGGAGGCCCTGGCCCGCGCAGGGTCGGCCCGGGCGCCCCCGGCGGCCAGCGGGCCGAGCCGGCGGCCAGGCGCGCTCGCTCCCGCGGCGCTCCGCCCCCCGAGCGATGCTGAAGGGGCCCTGGGACACACAAATCAATATACACAGATAACAGGGTTCCCCATATTGTCCCATATCTTATGGGTTTTTGTCTTCCTCTCACTTCCCATATTTTCCCACATCTTCCTGGGGGTGGACGATTAATTGTGTCTGTGTGTTTTTTTCTCCTCCTGAGATGCTCCTGCCGCTGCTCACCAGCCTCGAACTTATCCTTATCCCCAAGATTGACGCGCCAAAAGGCGATGACAATCTTAGGGATGCGCCCTGAAAAACTAAGGGAATCCCTGAGATTGGCATTGTGATGAGGCGATGACCAGCTTAGGGATAGGGATATGTTCCAGGCTGGTAGGCTGCCGTCCCCCGAGCCCCGCGGCGCTGCGCTCAACTCGGGCACATTCCAACAGTGGCGAAGCGTCCTGGCGTGCCTGCAGTGCTACCGAGCATGGTCCCAAGGACGCGTTTTGTGGCTTCCACGACGTGTTCTCAGAACAGTTCTGGCTGGGACTGCCTTGTTTTAGCACATCGAGTTTATGTTCTAAGAACATCGGTTTTGTTATAGGAGCATTTTTGGGTTCTAAGGACATTTCGTGGTAGGCCAACAGGAATGCCGGGACGGTCGGACCCTGCTCAAGGCATGTCCCTCTACAGGCGGAATTTTCAAGAATAGTCAAACATAGTCAGGTGATTTCTCTGTTTCCAGGCTATGTTGGGTTCTTTTTGTGTGAGCATGTTTCACCTCCCTCCCAAGACCCGCCCGTAGGAGGACCTGCCCGATCCAACGCTGCTCCCTCGCAGCCCAGCTCCAGTCCCGGCTCCTTCCCCCTCCCCCTCGAAGCCCCGCGAGAGTTGCCGCCGAGTGCTCTGCGCGCCTGCGTTTGCCGCCCGGCCGTCCTCGCCCCTCCCTCGAGGGCGCTCGCAGCCACTTCCCTCTCTGCGCGTCGCCGTCCCCGTCGACATCGCGCCAGGAGCGCCCCCTTCAGAAGCCCCCGTCAGAAGCCCCCTTCAAAAAAGCTCCAGGCTGGGCCCGCGCCCCGAGGGCGCGCGGTCCTCCTCCCTCCTCCTCCTCCTCCTCCTCCTCCTCCTCCTCCTCCTCCTCCTCCTCCTCCTCCTCCTCCTCCTCCTCCTCCTCCTCCCTCCTCCTCCTCCTCCTCCTCCTCCTCCTCCTCCTCCTCCTACCTCCTCCTCCCTCCTCCTCCTCCTCCTCCTCCTCCTCTCCTCCTCCTCCTCTCTCCTCCTCCTCCTCCTCCTCCTCCTCCTCCTCCTCCTCACTCCTACCTCCTCCCTCCGTCCCTCCTCCTCCTCCCTCCTCCCTCCTCCTCCTCCCTCCTCCCTCCTCCCTCCTCCTCCCTCCTCCTCCTCCTCCTCCTCCTCCTCCTCCTCCTCCTCCTCCTCCTCCTCCTCCTCCTCCTCCTCCTCTTCCCTCTCTCTCTCCCTCCCTCCCCCCTCCCTCCATCCCTCCCTCCTCCTCCTCCTCCTCCTCCTCCTCCTCCTCCTCCTCCTCTGTCCACCCACGGAGGTCGGCCACGCGCAGAGGGGGGTAGGGGGAGAAAGGGGAAGGCTTCTTAGAAGCACCCCTGCTTCTTACTGCAGTGTAAGGCCCGCGCCTTCTAAGAAGCAGCCTCCTTCTAAGAAGCCTTCCCCCCTTCCCCTACCCCCTGGTGCGCGCCGCCAGCCGAGGGCGCCCCCCCTTCTAAGAAGCCTTACCCCCTTCCCCGTGCCCCCCTCTGCGCACCGCCAACGCCCGCCCCGAGCCGTCGGCGGCGGAGCCCGGCCCCTGCGGCAACACGCTAGGGTGACCTTTCGCCCGGGTGGCCGATTCCCCGAGCGCGTTCCACTGGGCGCTCGAGGGCGAAAGCCGGCAGTGGGGCCCCGACCCCAGACATGATCGCGTCGTTCAAATATCACGACGGGCCGTTTTCGGCCTCGGGGGACCCTCGCCGGGCCTCGGGACCGTCAAACAACGACTCAGGATGAAAAACTTGTCCTGGGGGAAGGGTCCGGACTTCCAGGGACCCCGTGTTGAAAAATCAGGACGTCGCATGTCTGGGACAGGCGCTCAATCGCAGTCTGGGACATGGAACGAGAGGAGAAGAGGAGGACGACAAGGAGGAGGAGGAGGAGGAGGAGGAGAAGGAGGATGAGGAGGTGAAGGAGGAGGGAAGAGCAGGAGGAGGCAGAGGAGGAGGAGGAGGAGGAGGAGGAGGAGGAGGAGGAGGAGGAGGAGTTGGAGGACCAGTGTAAACCCAAGAGTCATCAACGATTTTGGAATAAGCCCTCCCTCCAAGCTACCTCTTCAGAGGCCCCTACCACGGTTCGTTTCCATTGAGGGAACTGCACCGTTGGAAGACAACCGTTTGAAGACCCTGAAGCATGGCAAAACAGTGTTCTCTGGATTCATACGCCACGGATCAACCTGACTGTTGCGCTTTGACGGTCCCGAATCGTGCCAGAACGCCGTTCATGGGACTCCAACACCGCGAACGAACGTAACGGTTGCACCCTCATAATCCTGATTCCTTCCAGCACGCCATTTCTGGTATTTTGATTTTGGGAATCCGTGAAACCCTTACATTTTTTATAATGAATGTGCGCGGCGTTGAGGCGGGAGCCAAATGTTGGAAAGGAACCGCTCTGAATCCGTGAATCTTGCAACTTTTTCTACACGAATGTGCGCGGCGCTAATGCGGGAGCCACATTTTGAAAACGGGTGCCTCTCAATCAGTGAAACCATTGCAATTTTCAACGACGCGCGTGGCACTCAGGCGAGAGCCACATTTTGACAACGACCCGCCCTCAATCAGTGAAGATCTTTGCATTTTTTAGACTGAATGTGCGCGGTGCGAAGGCGAGAGCCACATTTTGAAAACGACCCGCCCTCAACCCGTGAAGCTCTTGCCAAGTTTGATGTTTCAAGGTCATAAGTGGTGAGGACGTCTCAGGCGAAACGCCCAGCCCGCCCCAAAACTTGCTTCGGGGTGCGACAGGGATAAGTTATTCATAAACAGCAGGGATGGAGGAAGAGGAGGAGGAGGAACGATGGGTATCAGGAAACACGCGGCGAAACGTTTTTAACAAAACACAGGTGTTCCTCGATGTGGCAGGTCGTAGGCCCCCCGCGGCGGATCCAGTCCATCTGCGAGTAGTTACTTTTGCGAGTCGGGGAGCGCGCCTGTCTACCTCTGGCGCGGGCACACCAGCCAGGGCCCTTGGATGGCGGAACGCGCAGCAGCTGGCGCGCCCTACCCCCCCCCCTTCCCCCCCCCCCCCGCCCCCGCAGAGAGCCGCGCAGCAGAGGTCACTCCTGCCCGGGGCCGCTCTTTGCGTGACGCCGAGCGCTCTGGCGCTCGGACGAGGCGGCGCGCAGACGGCCGCAGCGCCGAGTCCGCCCCCCGAGAGCCGCGCGCCAGAGGTCGCTCTTCCCTTCCCCCCCCCCGCGCCCCCCAGAGAGCCGCGCGCAGCAGAGGTCGCCTCCTGCCCGGGGCCACCCCCTGCGCGCAGCCGCGCGCTCTGGCGCTCGGGCGAGAGGCGGCGCGCAGACGGCCCGCAGGCGCCGAGCCCGCCCGGCCTCCCGGGGTGGCGCCTGCGCGGGTGGGCGGGCGCCCTCCCGACGAGGCCGCCGAGAGAGGTGGCCCGAGAGGCGGCCCGCAGGGCGGCTCCAAGGATCCCGCCAGGCCAGAGGCCCGGCAGCGCCTGGCCGCTGGACGTCGACCCGAGGCCCGGCAGAGCCTGGCCTCACCAGCCTCGAACTTGTCCCTGTCCCTACGATTGGCACGCCAAAAGGCGATGACAATCTGAGGGATGCGCCCTGACAAAACTAGGGGAGTCCCTGAGATTGGCATCGCGATGTGGCGATGCCCAGCTTAGGGATAGGGATATGTTCCAGGCTGGTAATGGCCGCGGCCGCATCGTCAACGCGGGCATGGAGCGGCGGCGCCGCTCCGCGCGCACACCGTGAATGGCCGCAGCGTGCCGCCAGGACGGCCCCCAAGAGGGGCCCCAGAGGGGGGAGTTCGACCGGGCGTTCCGAGAGCTGCACATGGCGAGGAGCATTAGTGCGGTCCAAAATCTCTCCTCCTTCTCGTCGTGTCCCTGGCGCCGGACCGCCTGCAGGCCTGCAGCATCGAAGAGTGGTTCGGCTCCAGAGCACTGCAAGCATCAGAAACAGTGATTGCGCCGCACTTTCTTCTTGCTGACTCTTTACGGAGGAATCCTTACCGAGGACCCCTTACCGAGGAATCCCTACGGAGGAGTGTCAACTAAGGAAATCTGACCAATGACTCCTCGCTGAAGGGATCCTTACGGCGGAATCTAATCGCCATCAGTTCTCAGGGAGTGTTTGAAAGCGCAGTGTACAAGTTTTCAGGGGAAATCATACCCGGAGTCATGCTGCTGCTTCCGAAGTTACATGGAGACTTGGAGAGGATGGGTTGTAAATTGGAAAGAAAGGCAGAGGAGGAGGAGAAGGAGGAGAAGGAGGAGGAGCATGAGGAGGAGGACGAGGAGAAGGGGTCGGGAAGATGACGAGGATGAGGGCCAGGATAGTGATGGGGAGGAGAAGGATGAGGAGGAAACGGTGAGTACAAGGATGTTAAACAACACCATGAGGACCAGGATGATTTGACGAGGGGTAGAGGGGTGAGGGGGTGCAGGAAGGAGGGAGACGAAGGCTGGAGGGATATGGGCTATGGGAGAAGGGAGGCGGAGGATGAGAAGCAGGAGGAGGAAACAGAAGAGGAGGAGGAAGAGGAGGAGGAGGAGGAGGAGGAGGAGGAGGAGGAGGCGCAGGAGTCCAGAAGTCAGGCAATCGGGCGCAGCGCCGCGCGATTGCCTTCGATTAGTCCTGATCGCGCGCGTTGCGTCTGCGTGGCAGGCCGACGAGGACATAACTGGAAGACCAGGGGGGGGAAGCGGAGAGGAGGAGAGTTGAAGGTCCTCCTCTAGGCTTGGCACCGCTCGGACGTGTGCAGTCTTCCGTCGGCGAGGACCATCGAGGAGCATCCTTGATCATTAGGCGAAAAAACCACGCACGAAACCAAAAAAACACAGGGAATGGACGTCCGGGCGATGGCCAGTAGAGGTCCCTGGAGGTCCTCGGAGCTCCCCACGGGCCCCCGACACGCCCCCGAGGCGGTTCTCGCCGGTCGCCGGCGAGGTTTTTGGGGAGGGCGCCCCGCGCCGAGGAGCTCACCCGGCGCGGCTTCGGCCGCCTCTTCGACTTCCTGTACCTGCCCTTCGACACCAAGAAGGGCCCCCGCCCTGGGGCCCTGCCATCTCTCTCTCTCTCTCTCTCTCGCGTCCCTGCTTCCCCCCCCCCTCGCTCCGACAGGAAGGGGGAGCCACCAGGAAGCAAACGAACAAAAAAACCCAGCCAACAACACACACATGATAGCGAGCAAGGGATCACAGCTGACGGCACCCGAAGGTCTTCCCAGGCGGCCCCCCACCCCAGTACTACCCTTGGAGTTCTCTGGCGTCCTCTGCTCCGTGGGCCACGAGGCAGAGCAAAGCGTTCAGGATCCTCGGCCCTCCTCGGCCTCCTCTGGGTGGAGGTCTCCGGCGTCCTCTGCTCCGTGGGCCGCGAAACAGAGCAAAGCGTCCAGGATCCTCGGCCCTCCTCGGCCTCCTCCTCGTCTGTCTCCTCCCCTGGAGTTCTCTGGCGTCCTCTGCGCCGTGGGCCACGGGGCAGAGCAAAGCGTCCAGGATCCTCGGCCCTTCTCGTCCTCCTCCTCGTCCTGCACCCTCCCGGCGGTGAGTGCCCCTGAAAGGGCCGCCTGCGTGCGCGCCGCCCCGAGCGGCGGAGGCGCGCGGCGCCACGAGGGCGGCGTCGGTGTTCATCACACTGCCCGCCGAGACGTGCCCAGCCCCGTTCTCCTCCTCCTCCTCCTCCTCCTCCTCCTCCTCCTCCTCCTCCTCCGTTCTCCACGCGAGGCGAGACTGGGCATGAGAGCTCCGCGCAGTAGAAAGCATCGCCAGACATGCACTCGGGGGTGGACAGGCCTCCTACCCTGACACGTCGATGAAGGAGTTGGCCGTTTTCGGTTCGCGAGAGGGCGTCGCGGCCGTCATTTTTGCGGGTCCAAGTCCGTCGATTTCGGTCCCAGGCCGTTTTCACTAACTAAGCGGAGGTCTACTAAAGGGAGGTTTGTCCACCGCCGATGCACGTTCTGCGCTGCTCTCCCCTCTCCGCCGTGCCTCCCACGAGCCTGCAGAGGTGGCAACGACTGCGCACTTCACTTCGCAGCATCCCAGGTAGCAGCTACGAGGTCTCGGCTGAATCCACGTGGCCCCCTTCTCCGTTGGACCTCCCAGGAGCCCACGAAAGTGGCGGCAGTTGCTCAGTTCGCAGCCATCCAAAATGCGGCGAGGTCTCGGCAGGGTGCGCGTATTCAGCCGTGCCTCCCAGGAGCCCACGGAAGTGGCGACAGATGCGCAATTCGCAGCCACTCAGGGAGCAGCGAAGTCTCGTCTGGATGCGCGTACTCCCTCCCCTACCCCGCCGTTCCTCACAGGAGCCCGCGAACGGGGCGCCAGTTGCGCAGTTCGCAGCCATCCAGGGAGCTGCGAGGTCTCGTCTGGATGCGCGTACTCCCCGACTCCGCTAAACCTCCCCGAAGCCCACGAAAGTGGCGCCAGTTGCGCAATTCGCAGCCACCCAGTGAGGTATTAGGTCCCGTCTGGATGCGCGTACTCCCCTACCCCGCCGTTCCTCACAGGAGCCCGCGAACGTGGCGCCAGGTCGCCAGTTCGCAGCCACCCAGGGAGCTACGAGGTATCGTCTGGATGCGCGTACTCCCCGATCCGGCTAAACCTTTCAGGTGCCCAACGAAAGTGGCGCCAGTTGCGCAGTTCGCAGCCACCCAGGGAGCAGCTACGAGGTCTTGTCTGGATGCGCGTACTCTCCGACTCCGCTAAACCTCCCCGAAGCCCACGAAAGTGGCGCCAGTGGCGCAGTCCGCAGCCACCTAGGGAGCTGTGTAGGAGCAGACAGGAGGACGGTGGAGGGAGGCGGGGGGAAGAGGAGGTGGAGACCACAGCGCCTTGTTCAAAACGGGAACCAAACACACAAGAGGGTTGCTAAAACTTGTGTGTGCCATACATTATAACACCCCTCTTCAGCAGACAAACATGCTAAATATTACTCTCCGCCCAGTGCTTCGCGGCCCTGAGCGTATGCTCTTGAACTCCGTGCCAGTGCTCTGCGCAAAGTTCGGGCCCGCCGCGAAGCGGCCTCTGCGTGGAGCGGAGGGGGGGAGGAGGAAGAGCGGGTCGGAAAGCGAAGGGACCATGCAGACAAGGAGAAAGACGACGATGTAGACGACGGCGACGACGAGCACGACCACGACCACGACCACGACGACGACGACGACGACTACGACGACGTCCACGTCCACGACCACGACCACAGCGACGACGACCACGACGACGACGACTACCACGACCACGACCACGACCACGACCACGACCACGGCGAGGACGACGACGACGACCACGACGACGACGACGACGACGGCGACGACGACAACGACGACGACGACGACGACCACGACGACGACCACGACCACGACCACGACCACGGCGAGGACGACGATGACCATGACCACGACGACGACGACCTCGACCACGGACTTGTCGACGACGACGACGATGACGACAACGACGACGACGACCACGACCACGACCACGACCACGACGACGACGACGACGCTGACGACGACGACGACTGCATGCAGAGGGGTCTGTCACACAGAAGAGCGACCCTACGCCAGGGCGACCTTTGGCCGCGCGGCTTCCTGGTGTCGCGGTGGCGCCAAGCTCAAGCACGCGGGCCGGTGCTGCCCCATCGCACGCAGCTCTTGCCTGGTGCCTTGCGTGAAGCCCATTCCACACCAGGCCCCTGTGTATCTTTCTCTGTATTCGTGTACCTACCTAACTACTTGCATACATGAATACATGCATACATACAGACGTACCTACCTACATGCATGCATACATACGTTCACATACATACATACCTACATACATACATACATGCAGTCATGCATACATACATACATGCATGCACACGCATCCATTCATTCATCCATCCATACATACATAAACCATGCATACATGTATGCATACATACATACAGACACACACATACACCCGTACATACACATACATGCATACATACGTACATACATCGTGCGTGCGTGCGTACATACATACCCGCATGCATACATACATACATGCATACATGCATACCTATACACATACATACAAACGTGCATGCACGGAGGCATGTAGGCATGCATGCCTACATGCATACGTGCTCGCATGCATACATGCATATATGCATACATGCATTCATGTAGGTGCATACATACATGCATGTATGCATACATACATACATACATACATACAGCAACACAAACATAGAGCCGTACAACCATATACGCATACATACATACATACATACATACATACATACGTACGTACGTACGTATGTATGTACGTACATACACGCATGCATACATACATACATACGTACATACATACATACATACATACATACATACATACATACATACACACATACATACATACATACATACATACATACATACATACACACATACATACACATATACAGAGACTCTCTATATATGTGTGTGACGCTTTCGTGTGCTCTCAGTTTGGGCGCACAGTGGTCGCTCCTGGGGTCTAGGGCCGTCCAACAACCTCCGGGATGAAAGCTCGGTCCTAGGGGAGGGGTCGAGACCTCCCATCCAGCCCCGATCCTGACGAGGCCCAGGAAGGGCCGGGCCAGGATCGGTACAGTCAACGCGCCTAGCAAGGACGTGCGTCCTTGCCTCTGTGGCCCGTCCTTTGCCGTTTTCACTGGTCGCCGCTGCCCAAAAAATCCCAACTTCAGCCTCCAAGGGTCTTGCGTCCTTACCACGCGTCCTTAATATACGTTTTGACCGTACGGGTTGATGGCTGGCGTCCTCCATGGAGTTGCCACCGGATGCCGGCAGCGCGCAGAGGGGGGGCGGCACGAGGGGGGGTTAGCCCTCTAAGTGACACCCTGCCCTCTTCAAGGCCGCCCCCGCCTGACCAGAAAGGCAGAGCCTGGACAGTGTCGCAGTATCCCTCACGGCAAGTCGCTCGAGCTGCGTCCACCCGTTGCCGCGAAGACCCTTCTGGAGGCCCAGGAGGTTCGAAACAAGTGTCAAGACTAGGGGAACGAGCAATGATACAAACATAACAACTCGGAGGTCCGCGCGGATTGCTCGGATCGGTGCCGGAGACGCCTGGCGGCGCCTCCAGCGCCGCCCCTGGCGCGCTCCGCGCGGACCTCCGAGCTTTTGTGCTTCTGTCATTGCTTGTTTCCCTCGAGATCCTGGAGGTCGGGTCTCCTGGACCCCCCCAGAGTTTCGGGCCGGGCGAAAGGGGGGGATTGGGAATGGCGGGGTTACGAAACTTGCTGCATGCAGCTGGTTTCGGCCCCACCGAGGGGCCCATTCCTCGATACATGGCATGGGCGCCTCCCGGCGCCGGGAGGCGCCGGGAAAATCAGCTACTTGAGCTGATTCTCAACCCCCCCCTTTGCTATCCCCCCTTTTCGCCCGGCCCGAGAGTTGTCTCCTGCGCTGGCCGCGCCTCAAGAGTGTCGGGCTCGACGGCTGCCTGGCTGGCCGCCGCGAGGACTGCGAAGAGACGTGGCAGAGCAGCGCAGCGGCAGAATCAGCTGATTCCTCCTCGGCTGCAGAGGCTTGGCATTTTTCCATCGGCGAGGACCATCGAGGAGCATCCTTGATCATTTGGCGAAAAAACCACGCACGAAACCGAAAAAAACACAGGGAATGGACGTCCGAGCGATGGCGAGGAGGGCTTCCAGAGGCCCCGGGAGGTCTTCGGAGGCCTCGGGAGGCCCAGGCACGTCCAAGCAGATATTATTCAGAGCGTGAATTACCTACCCCGCTTTCGCTTCCAGGCAAGAGCAAGACCAAGTCATACCACGCGCCTCCTCGTCAAGCGGCCTGACCAGTAGGTACAGGCCGTAGTTTGGCATCGTTTGGTATCTCTTGGAAGCGAGGGTGGTCAAAAGCGAGGTCGGTCTGTTTGCCCCCTAGTTTATAAAGGGCCATTGATGCTCGAACCTCGAGGGTCGATCTTCGAACCTCGAGGGTCGAGGGTCGAGCCTCGTCGACCAACCCGCAGTTGCCGCCTTGCGCTCGCGAGGCTCCAACGTCGGCTACGGATTCGTGAACTTCCTCCAGCCTCAGCACGCGGAGCTCTTCCGCAGGCCGCCCCTGCGAGCTCGGCACGACGACTCCCCTCTTAAACAGTCCTGGCGCCGACGCCGCCGACGAGTACAGCGATGACGAACACGATGATGATGATGATGATGATGATGATGATGATGATGATGATGATGATGATGATGATGATGATGATGAGGATGAGGATGAGGATGAGGATGAGGATGAGGATGAGGATGAGGATGAGGATGAGGATGAGGATGATGATGGTGATGGTGATGATGATGATGGTGATGATGATGACGATGATGGTGATGAGGACGATGATGGCGATGTTGATGATGCTGATGATGATGCTGATGATGATGTTGATGATGATGACGACGGCGACGATGGTGATGAGGATGAGGAGGATGATGATGCTGATGATGATGATGATGATGATGATGATCGTGGTGATGATGATGTTGATGATAATGACGATGATTACGATGAAGATGGTGGTGGTGATGATGAGGATGATGATGATAGTGCTGCTGCCGAGGATGATGAGGATGTTGACGATGACGACGGTGATGATAAGGAGGGTGAGGATGATGATGACTAGAGTGGTCATGATGCTGATGCGGAAGAGGATAAGGATGATGATGAGGATTATGATGATGCTGACGTTGATGATGATTATGATGATGGTGCTGCTGCTGATGATGTTGCCGGTGGTGATACTGATGTTGTTGATGGTGATGATGACTATGATGAATGATGTCGATGCTGTCGATGGTAATGATGGTGAATCTGATCATGATGCTGGTGATGCTGAGGTTGATCTTGTTCTTGATGATGCACCTGCTGCTGCTGCTAATTATCATGATGATGATGTTGATGATGATGATGATGATGCTGATGATGATGATGATGATGATGATGATGATGATGATATGATCATGATGATGATGGCTGCGATTATGATGTCGCGCGATTGTGACAATCATAGTCTCTCTGGGGGAGCCGTGAACGAGTCGGAGGAGGTCAGGAGGGTGGTGATCCCAGGTGGTGCGGGTGATCTCAAGCGGTGGCTTCGTGCGGGCCGTCACTGGCGTGGCGCAGAGTGCGAGGAGCAGAGGCTGCCGACCTTCGTCCGTTGCATCCCGAGGGCGTGCGCGGGCTCTAAGCCCTAGGGTTTGCACCAGTGTTCGGAGGAGGAGTTGGCGCGCTGGCGCACCCACGAGTACTGCTATGCCCCGTACCAGTTCCGAGATGTTCACTGCTTGCGCTGGGATGGCGGTGATTTGGAGCCTGCGGATTCCTTTGAGCGGGAGATGCTGATGGACTTCCCCCCTGGTCACACGGCGACGGCCATGGCGACCCGGTTTCGCAAGACCCGCGAGCTGGAGGTGGTCCGTTGCGCCCTGCTAGGCAACTCCTTCCAGTGTGCCGTGGTGGCCTGAATCTTGGGGCACTGGGCGCACTGGCAGAAGTACCTCGACGGCGTCCCGAGCGTGGAGCAGCTGCGGCAGCAGGGCGGCGGCTTCGACGCGTCCGAGGGCGCGGTGAGGATGGCGGGTGACGAGGGCGTGCTGGTTCGCCACCGGGATCTGTGTGGCCGCGAAGCCCAGCAGGACATGAGCGTGCAGATGGTCGAGGAGATGGTCAGGCGCGCTGAAGTTCGAGGCTCGGATGTTCGGTTAGATTCGCTGGAGGTGATGCGCCCTGATCTGTGGCCTCGGAGGCCCATCAGTGTGGTGCGCTGGTCATGGAAGACGGTCCTGGTCTGGCGCTGGAAATGGAAGAGTCACATCACAGCGCTGGAGGTCCTCAGTACGCTGGCTGCTCTATGTTGGAGATTCCGTGTATGACATCATCTGTGCACGAGGTTTGCTCATCTCATGGATTTACAGGTGGGCATTGGTGTGATTACGAGAGGACGCTCTTCTTCCCATGTGCTCAATGCTGCTGTCAAGAGGATATCGGCCTTGGTTCTGACGGCCTCAGCGCGACCAATCTACGGGTACACCGAGACGGACAATAGTCCCGCCGACGACCCTTCCAGAGGAGGCGGCACCACCTTGGCCGATCATGCCGCGTCGGGGGCGCATTGACTACGAACGCGATCTGGTGGCCCGTGTTGGTGCGCGCAGAGTTATTGGGAAGTTATCGCACGCTTTAGTTCAGCCTCGCACCTTGCGGCGATATTACAGGATGGTGTTGGTTTTCGCCTCGTGGGTGAAAGCTCACGGTGTAGCAGTGGAATATGATGTGGAGCAGCTTGACTTTCAACGTTGTGAATGGATTGAGTCGCTTTGGGCCGCTGGTCGGCCAGCTGGAGATGCGGGCTCGACCATCTCAGGCGCGCAGTTCTTCTTGCGACGCAAACGTATTCTACATAGTTCTTGGAATCTGCTCAAAGTTTGGCAGAGGACGGAAACGCCTCAGCGGGCCACGCCGATGCCGGAGTATGTGCTGATGGCATTGGCGAGCGTGGCGCGCTCGTGGTCTCGTAATTACGTGGCACTGCTGCTGGTTGTGGGCTACGCGGCGTTCCTTCGCACGATGGATGTGCTGAGCATGCGCCGGTGGCAGTTTCAGTTCACGAACGATGGGCTCAGTATGATCATCGCGCTGCCAGTCAGAAAGTCAGGAGTTCGGCGTCACTGTGAGGAGTCGGCGGCGCTTCACGACCCGCGACTGGTGAGGTTCGTGCGGCATTTCCTCGACAGGTTGCCGCCCGACGAGTTCACCCTCAGGTCATCCGTGGGGGACTTCCGGCGGGTCTTCAGGGAGCTCATCTCCAGCTTGGGGTTCGAGCGCCACCAGTGCGTGTCGTACTCCCTGCGCCGCGGCGGCGCGACGATGCACAGCCGTCGCTACAACGACATGGGCCACGCGCTCATCGTGGGCAGGTGGCAGGACACCGCCGTGGCGCGGCTCTACATGTCGGACGGGCTGCAGAGCTTGCTGCAGAAATCGCTCGGCCCGCTGGAGCTGGACCGCTTCCGCCGCCTGGCGGCGGCCCTTTACCATGATGTGTGATGAGAAGAGAGAGAGAGAGAGAGAGAGAGAGAGAAGGACAGAGAAAGAGAGAAACAGAAGGAGAGAATGAGAGAGAGCACAGAAGGTTACACTGCCGTGATTCACAGCTTCGCTGTCAGCATTTTCCCGACCCTCCGTCCCCAGGGTTAAAGACGGTAAGCCAGAGTGGGGTGCATGGAAGGGGGAGGCTCCCTTGGGGAAGGTTCGGACTCGTGGCCGCGCTGCCGCTCCCTCCTTAGGGTTCGGACTCGCGTTCACGCTGCCGCCCTCTCCTCAGGGGTTCGGTCTCGTGTTCGCGCTGCCGCTCCTGGGGTCCACTCCGGGGGTTCGGACTCGCGTTCGCGCTGTTGCCCCTTCAGGGCGCGGGGTCCCTCGGGGTCGGGGGGTCTCGCGGTGGCAGACCCCCTTGCACACAAGACTCTGGTATGGGATGCTACGTGAAAAGAGAGGGGACGAGGAAGCAGGTATGAGATAAAAGTCATTGAGTTTCTCATGCGAGTTATCTCCCCTGGCGCGTTCCCTTGATGCGCCCATCCCGTTGCCGCCTCCCCCGCAGCCGCTTTGGCCCCTCCCATCACTTCCTTGCCAAACTCGGAAGGGGGGGGCCCCTTGGGGAGGGTTCGGACTCGTGGTCGCGCTGCCGCTCCCTCCTTAGGGTTCGGACTCGCGTTCACGCTGCCGCCCTCTCCTCAGGGGTTCGGTCTCGTGTTCGCGCTGCCGCCTCTGGGGTCCACTCCGGGGGTTCGGACTCGCGTTCGCCCTGTCGCCCCTTCAGGGCGCGGGGTCCCTCGGGGTCGGGGGACTCGCGGTGGCAGCCCCCCTTGCACACACGACTCTGGTATGGGATGCTACGTGAAAAGAGAGGGGACGAGGAAGCAGGTAGGATGTACTTATATACATGCATGACTGCATATATCCATACAGCCATCCATCGATCCATCCATCCATCCATCCATCCATCCATCCATCCCCACCTATATACCAACGTACCTGCATGCATGTATGCATGCATGTATGCATGCACGTACTTATATACTTATACATGCGCACAACCCATATCTATACATATATGTATATATATATATACATATATATATTTGTATGTATATATAGGTATACACGTACTGCAACCTCCTATCCCCTTCCATGTAGCTTGCACCGCAAAGTTTACACCACATAGTTGTCGCCACATACTTTGCATAACAGTTTGCCTCACACAACTTGCACCACCCAGCTTGCTCCATATAGCTTGCACCACATATTTTCTCATGCCGAAGGCTTCTGGCTTGCTGAGGGCCGTGGCTTGGCGGAGGGCCGAGCCTCCTTGTCGGCTCCTGCGGGAGCCCCGTGTCACAGGTCCGTGGGCAATGAGCATGGGATAGTGGGAAGACGGAAACTACAAGTTGCACAACGTAGTTGGCACATCCAGTGCAATAACTCACCTTCTAGGGTCCACGCGGAGCAAACATATATCATGATGGGGAGGAGGATGATCAGGAGCAGCAGCAGGAGCAGGAGCAGGATGAGGAGGAGGATGAGGAGGAGGAGGAGGAGGAGGAGGAGGAGCAGGAGGAGCAGGATGGACGAGCAGAGGCAGGTCATGGGGAGGGGGAGGGGGGGAGGGATGAAAGGCGGAGGAGGGGAGGGGGGTTGAGTCCCGAAGAGGTCGCGATATCCAGCCTCTGGATGGGGTTGAGGGGGGGGGGGGGAGGGAGGAGGGGGGTAAGGGGGAGGAGGGGAGGGGGGCTTGAAGGTCGAAGAGGTCGCGACGTCGAGGGCCCGTTTCGGGCGCCCGGGGAACGTCGGGAGTCGATCCGGGGTGCGACGACCGGCGGCCCGGGTGAGCCCCGCGGAGGGGGCCCGGGGGGGCGGACCTCGAGCGGACCCTGCGGAGGACGAGGGGCCTGCGGGGGTGGACGGACCCTGCGGAGGGCGAGGGCGGACCCTGCGGAGGGCGAGGGCGGGGAGCCCCCCCAGACATGAGCGCGCCGTTCCACAAAATCAGGACGGGAGGTCTTCGTCCGACGCGGGAATTCATCCATACCCACCGCCTGGAGGGTCGGTTTTCGGAGCCTCGGCAGGCGGTGGATATGGACATATTCGGACTCCCGGGGGCCGAAATACTTCCATATCCACCCCCCGCTGGGGCACCAGGACGTCGGTTCCCAGGCGGTGGATATGGATGGATCCCCGCCTCGCATTTTGACAATTTTTCGGCCTTGGGGGGCCCTCGCTGGGTCTCGGGACCGTCAACAAACGACCCAGGATGAAAGACCGGTCCCGGGGACAGGTCAGGAGGGGAAAACACACACACAGACACAATTAACCGACGATCCCCAGGAAAATATGGGAAGTGGGGGGGAAGACGAAAACCCAGAAAATATGGGAAAATATGGGGAATCGTTTTATTTGTGTGTATTTATTTGTGTGTGTCCCAGGGCCCCTTCAACAGGGTCGGGACTTCAGGGACCCCGGACTGAACAAATATCGGGGCGTCGCCAGTCCGGGCCAGCGGCTTGCCCGGGAAGGGAAGGGGAGGATGCCATCCTGGCCGCGTCTGCAGGACCTCCGTCGCCCCTGTCGCGCTGTTGTTTCCCCCCCCTCGCCTCCCCCACTCAGGCTGTGCGACCTTTACAGTCAACGCGCATAGTAAGGTCAAACGACTTTTTCAAGGGTACCCTTGGGTCCTGGCCTGCCTCAGCCTCTGCGGCCCGTCCCTGCAAATTTTCGCAGGCCAGTTTCTCAGGTTCCCTGGGGGTTTGGCCGCCTGCCGCCCAGAATACTTCAACTTCGGCCTCCAAGGGTCTTGCGTCCTTACCACGCGCCCTTACTCTACGTTTTCACTGTGCCGCCGCTTCTGCCCGCCAGGATCTATTTCTGTACCCTCGCCCTCGGCGTCTGGGGCCGAGGGGCCGATCCAGACGCGCCGCCTGGCGCCAGGGCCACGGGGGCCAGGATTGAGTCGGGCCTGTCCCCCTGCAGGGGGATTTTTGACGAGAAATAAAAGATACCCCAAACATACTCCAAACATAGTCCAAAAATAGTCTGGGGACTACTTCTTGGGTAGTTATTTGTTGGCCCTTCTGGGGTATTTTTGGGGGTTTCTATTTTTCGTCGAGAAGCCCCCTGTAGGGGGAGACGCCCGACGTGAGGCTGGGAGGAGCCGGGCCTGCCGAGAGGAGGATCGCTTCGGGATCCGGAGGGGCCCTGGTTTTCGGGCCGATCCTCGGATCCAGGTCGGGCAGCCGAATCGCTCTCGAGGGTCGCGGTGGCCAGGAGAGCCCCATCGCTCTCTTCCTTCTGCGTTCCGTGCGGGTTGCACGGGGCAGAAGTTCAGGCCCCGAAGAAACTAGCTAGGATTTCGCAGACCTGGACTTTCTGCCAGATCTAGCGGGAGAGGGCAAAGAATGGACACAGTCGGGGCGCTGAAGAGGGACCCCTTCTCGTTGGGGAGGGGCTCGGTGTTCCTTGATTGTTTTACAGCTTGGCTTGGGTTTTCCTGAGGTTTTCGATGGGACATCCAAGCTTAACCACTGGGATCAAGGGGCCTCGTTCCATATATAGGGTTCCTTAGGTCAGCGCCCCGACTGTAATGAATACTGTTTCGACCCACGGTTGCGGTTTTCTCGGGTGGTGCGCCAGCGCCGCAGGCCTCGCAGATGGGGTCCGACGGCGCCGATGCGTCGCCGATGCATTGGCGATACGATCCTGGGGGCCTGCCATTCACCCTCCCTCCCTCTCTCCCTCCCTACCTCCCTCAATCCTCTTCCTCCTCCTCCTCCTCCTCCTCCTTGATCTTGGGGTTCCTGAGCGTCGCATTTATTTAATTCGTGGCTTGTCAAGCTCCTGACAAGTCCCGAGTGACTTTCTTTCTTTCTTCGGTGTCTTTCTGATGATCCTGTGGCCCGAAACACCGGACTTTGCTTCAGATGTCCCCCAACACGCCGTCATGTTGTGTCGTGATGCGGGAGGTTTGCGTCCTTCTTCCACCTCCTCCTCCTCCCCTTCCTCCTCTACGCTGTCCAGGGAGTTTGACGGCACGTACATGGACGGAGTGGTGTACCAGCAGGACAAGCTGATACACGTGCACCCTGCGTCCGTGCAGGGCTACGAGGCGGGAAGGAGAAGCAGGGGGGGGGGCAGAGGAGGAAGGTGAAACGGGGACGGGGGGAGGCTCTGGGGGATGGAGGTGAAAGAGACGAGAGGAGACGGAGGAAGGGACGGGGGAGAGAGAAAGGACGGGGGGGAGGACTGAAGGCAGACGAGGCGGAGGAGATAGGAGGGAGGGGTGACGGGCGAGAGGAGGGAGGGGGGCGTGCAGGCGGGACGAGCTGGCGCACGCGCGCGGGAGTGGAGAGGGGAGGCGCAGTGGCGCGGGAGGTGGTGGAGAGGGGCGGGAGCCCTCCCTCTCCTCCTCCTCCTCCTCCTTCTCCTCCTCCTCCTCCTCCTCGCTCCGATCAGTTTTGGGAAGGCAGGGTAGGTGCTGAGGGGGATGATCATCAGAGGGGAGTGTGTACCTCGTCGCAGCCCTCTCTGCCCGAGGGGTGCGCAGGCGAGGGTTTCGTTTCCCCCCCCTGGGTCGCGCAGGGCGAGTGGAGGGGGCCGCTTCGGTTCTCAGCGGGCAGGTGCCGAGGACGGCCTGCTGCAACTCCGCTCCCCAAGGGTACCAGGCTTACGTCGGGCACGCCCCTCTGCAGGAGGAAAAGTCAAAATAGTCAAAAAAATAGTATGGGGACTGTATGTTGACTTTGTTGGTGTCTGTTTGAACATTTATCGATGGTTTGTTGTCTTCCCTCTAAAACCGATTGTAGGAGGACATGCCCGACCTACTATCATGCACCCCTTACCTGTACACGGTGTTCACATGACGGCGGTAGCCGCCAAACATCAAGGGAACCTTACGTTCCGGGGTCGCGTTCAAGGGGCCTTTCGCTGTTGTGCCCAGAGAATCAAACCCCAGACGGTTCGCGCAACCCCACCAGCCCATCCAGACAAACGATGCCCAGACGAGTTGCCCTGATCAGGGATGTGGAGGAGCATGTAGTGGAATGAAGGGCTGGGGAAGCGGTCATTTCAAGAGGGTGGAGATGGAGGAGGAATCGGAGGAGAAGGAGAAGGAGAAGGAGGAGGAGGAGGAATCGGAGGAGGAGGAAGAGGACCAGAGCCGTGCGAGGTCTTCTTAGATCGCATATTGGGGATCGCCAAGGCCATAAGCGGTGAGGAGCGCCTGCTTGCTGTGCAACGCTTGGTTTTGAGTTTCTACTTATATCACTCGATTCGGAGCCAGGCCAATGTTGACCCGACGTTGCTAGCACAGCATGCCCGTGCTGCCAGAGCGCAGCTGCTACAGCAACACGACGATCGAGCGAGCTAATCGACTACGAACTCATTCCGAGCTACGTGCGAGGAGGAAGAGGACCAGAGTACGTAAACCCAATACTCATCAACGATGTTGCGATCATCCCTCTTTCCAAATTTCCTCTTCATAGGTCCTTACAAGGATTTGTTTCACTCAAAGATCTGCCCCGGTGGACCACAAGGGTCTGGCGATTCTGAACCGTGTCAAAACACAGTTCCTGCGGCTTCGACGCCGCGAACCAACGTTAACGTCGCGCCCTGACGATCCTGACTCGTGCCAGAACACTATTCCTGGGACTTCAACACCGCCAATTCACCTGACTGCTACGCCCTGACAGTCTTATATCGTGCTTGAATACAATGTCTGGGACGTCAGCCATAATAATTCTTGAGCCTGTTGCGATCTCTAATGACAAGTGCGCACGGCGCCAAGTCGATAGGCACATTTGAAAAGGGGCCGCCTTCCATCCGAGACGCTCTTGCAAACTGTCAAGACGAATGTGCGCGGCGCTCAGGCGAGAGCCACATTTTGATCGCCGCCCTTCCTCCACCCCGGAAGCTTCCGCAAACTCTTGAGACGAAGATGCGCGGCGTGAAGGCGAGAGCCTCCTTTTGAAGACCCGAAGCCTTCCATCGGTGAAGCTCTTGAATGCAATTAATCAGAGCGTGAATTACCTACCCCGCTTTCGCTTCCAAGAAAAACCAAGTCATACCACGCGCCTCCTCGCCAAGCGGCCTGACCAGTACAGGCCGTAGTTTGACATCGCTTGGTATCTTTTGGAAGCGAGGGTGGTCAAAAGCGGGGTAGGTTCGTTTCCCCCTACTTAAGACGAGCGCGCGCGGCGCGAATGCGAGAGACTCAGTCTGAAACGACCCGCCCTCCATCGGTGAATTGCTGTACACCCTAGCTTAAGGATCATCCGTGGGAGGGTGTCTCGGGCGAAACTCCCGGCCCGCCCTGCCGACACGGCCTGTGGTGCGACAGGGAGGCGTCAGTTTTTGAAGGAAGAGGGATGGAAGAGGATGGGGAACGGGGGATGAGGAGGGAGGAGGGAGGAGGAGTAGGAGGAGGAGGAGTAGGCGGATGATGATGATGCTGATGATGAAGATGATGACGATGATGATGATGATGATGATGATGATGATGATGATGATGATGATGATGATGAGGATTATGGTGATGATGATGATGAGGATTATGGTGATGGTGAGGATGATGATGATGAGGATGATGATGAGGATGATGATGCTGCTGATTATGATGATGATGCTGCTGATGATGATGGTGATGCTGATGCTGCTGCTGATGATGATGATGATGATGAGGAGGAGGAGGAGGATGATGATGATGATGAGGAGGAGGAGGAGGGCGAGCATAAAGGCCAGAGGCCTCTCGGATGCCTCCCCGAGTCTCTTGGGTTGTCTCTTGAGAGTTTCTTGGGGTCTTCTTGGGGCATCTTGGGGGCCTCTCGGCGCTTCTGGGGGCCTCTTGGTGCGTCTTGGGTGCCTCGGGGGAGCCGCTTGGGGCCTTTTCGGGGTCTCTTCCGGGCCTCTTGGGGACCTCTTGGTGGCTTCTTGGGGCCTCGTGGGCGCTTCTTGGGGCTCTCTTGGGGCACTCTTTGGAGACTTGGGGGCCATCTTGAAGCCATCTTAGAGGAAGCCGATAAAAAAAACGGGGGTCACTAATTGGGCCCTCGTCTAGAGCCCCGAACATCACCACTTGGATTCTTGGGGCGCTCTTGGGGCGCTCTTGGGGCCGTCTTGGAGCCCTGTTGGGCTCCTCGTGGGTCTCTCTTGGGCCTTTTTGGAGCCATTTTGAGGCCTCGGAGGGTCATCGAAAGCGAAAAGGCGAGGAGGCAAGCATCATTGATGTTCCGTAGGTTTGGGAATCAGAGGTGGCTTTCTTGGGAGATTCCGTGGCTATTTGGAGCCGTCTTGGGGCGGTTGGACGCCATGTTGAGTTGTTTTGAGCCAGCTTAGCCATCTTGGAGGTCATCTTCGGCTCTCCGAGGCCCTGTTGGAGTTATTTTTGGACCATCTTGGACGCTCCAATCGTTTCCCCCCCTCTCCAGACTCAGGGGTAGGGGGTATGGGGGAGGGACCCAGACACCTCTTGCCTACAATGCGCAAGCCGTCTCGCTCAGTCCCATCCGCCTTCCCAACATATATGTAGCACTTGGGAATCCTCGTCGCAAACCACTGCGACATGGTCGCGGGGCGCCTCTGCATGCTCCAGATTTAGAGGCAAAGTGCATTGTGTGTGTGGGTGCAAATTTGTCAGGGATGGTTGGCCTGCGCACAGCAAGCAACATGAGGGCACCCCGGCCGTCCCTGCCACCGCAACCAGTGCAGAGTGGTCGTGGGGCCCCCGAGCGTGCTCCAGAATTGGACGGACGGTAAGTGCACTGTGTATTGTTTGTTGGCAGGTATGGTTGGCCTGCGGGCAGCAAGCAATACCTATCGGTCGTTGAAAGTAGGTATTTTCGGACTCCCAGATTCCTATCTACTTTCAGCGCCTTCCTACTTTAATGATCGAGTGGCTTCACCTTTTCCGTCCTCCTTAGGGGGCGGGCGGACACCCAATCTATTTTCAACGCCTTCCTACTTAATGTTTCTACCTGCTTCTTCCGACCGATGGGTATGAGGGCACCCCCGCCGTGCCTGTCAAAAGCAGATGCGAAGTGGTCTCGGGGCGCCCGCGCATCCAGATTCGACTCCAAAGTGTATTTTGTATAGTTTTCTCACAGGGGTGATTGGTTGGCGCGCAACGAGCAATAGGACCCCCCTGCCGCCGTCCCTGTCAAACGCCAATGCAAGGTGGTCGCGGGGCGCCCGCGCATGCTCCAGGTGCAGAGGCAACGTGTGTTTTGCACTGTTTCTTAAAGGGGATGGCGGGGGGGTGTTTGCATGGGGACGGGTTGGCTGCCGGTCGTGTGGGGGAGGGGGTGTTGGTTAATAAGGAACGGTGATGAACCTCTCACCGACGGGGAAGAAGGGGGTTGGAAGGTGACGCGTTCTAAACCACTCACACCCTAAAGGGCTGGTGGGATTAGCCTGGCGAAGCACGCACCCCTTTTTCAAAACGAGGCGGTAATGAGCAGGGCCGCTCAATGTACGAGAATACTGTAAGGGGCCTGTGGTATTCCTGAACGCTTTGCCCAAAGTGTCAAATCACTCTGAACGTGTGAGCGTTGTGCCCAAATTGGGCTGGGCCTCATGTGGACGCAGCCACTGGGGCCTTGGGTGGAGCTCCCTATAGGGCCACGAAGCGTGCGATGGGTGTGCCGAACTGCGGCGGGACACCATGCGGATGCAGCCACTGGGGCCTTCGGCGGAGCTCCCTTTGTGGCCTCGAATCGCATGATAGGGGTATTGGCTGGCCACCATGCGGACGCAGCCACCGGGGCCGTCGGTGGGGCGCCCTAATTGAGGGGTCAAGAGGCGAGTCAGGGGTGTGTGCCGAGATTGGGCTGGTCACCATGCGGACGCAGCCATTGGGGCCTTTGGTGGAGTGCCCAATGAGGTCAAGAGACGCGTGAGGGGTGTGCCGAAACGGGGGCGGGTTACCATGCGGACGCAGCCATTGAGGCCTTTGGTGGATCGCCCTATGGGGCCGCGAAGCGTGCCATGGGTGTACCGAAATGGGGCGGGTCACCATGCGGACGCAGCGACTGGGAACTTTGGTGGAGCTCCCTGTGGGGCCACGAAGCGTGCCATGGGTGTACCGAAATGGGGCGGGCCACCATGCGGACGCAGCCGCTGGTGCCTTCGGCGGAGCGGGCTGGGACAAGGATAAATCCGTTCCAGAGCGTTCAGGACCGCTCTCAGTGCGTTCCAGAACGCTCTGAGAAGGCCGCGGCGCCCGAGACATCCTCGGCTTCTTTTTGGGCCTTGGGGGCCTCATGGGGCCTCCAGGGGGCCTCCTGGGCTCTCTTGGGGGCCTCGTGGGGCCTCCTAGGGGCCTCTTGGGCGGAAGGCTCGGATTGGTGGTTCGTGTTTCCCCTCTTGTGGCCATCTTAGGGTCGTCTTGGGGCCCTCTTGGGCGATTTAGGGTGCCTCTGAGGCCGTTTTGGGGTGTTCTTGGACCGTCTAGGGGCCCTCTTCGGGGCCTCTCAAGCCGTCTTGGGGCGGTCCCAGGGGCGTCTGGGGCAATCTTGTAGCGGTGGAAGCCCGAAAACGCGGTAACACTCATGATTCCGACGGTAGGACCCCACATGAGAATCTTCTCGGCTAATCTGGAAATGACCCGCATCGACGTCCTCGTGATATTGAGGCGTCCTTACTGCCTCCTCTGCGTCATTCTTCCCCTCGCCCACGGAAGAGGCTCCCGCCTTATACTTCCAAACTACTCAGGCCTCAGGAGCCCCAAAGTGACGACAGTTCTAGGATTCCGATGACCCACTCGGATTAGTAACATGAGCTGCGGGCCCCATGGGGAGGGAACTCCCGCTGGAGACTTCCTCGCGAGTCACTCACAGTTAAGGCTCCCACCTGATACTTCCTCCATCTCCAAGCCGTAGGAGCCCAACAGTGACGACAGTTACAGGGTTCCGACGACCCGCTCGGATTAGCAACATGATCTGCGGGCCACATAGGGAGGGGGCTCCCGCCTGAGACTTCCTCGCCATTCGCTCACAGACAAGGCTCCCGCCTGATACTTCCCCCATACTCAGGCCTCAGGAGCCCAACAGTGACGACGGTTCCAGGGCTCCGATGGCCCGCTCGGGTTAGTAATATGAGCTGCGGGCCCCATGGGGAGGGAGCTCCCGCCTGAGACTTCCTCGCGAGTCACTCACAGTTAAGGCTCCCGCCCGAGACTTCCGCCATTCTCAAGCTTGAAGAGGCCAAAAGTGACGACAGGTATAGGATTCCGATGACCCGCTCGGGTTAGCAACATGATCTGCGGGCCACATAGGGAGGGGGCTCCAGCCTGAGACTTCCTCGCCATTCGCTCACAGACAAGGCTCCCGCCTGAGGTGAGTAAGTGAGTGAGTGAGTGAGTGAGTGAGTGAGTGAGTGAGTGAGTGAGTGAGTGAATGAGTGAGTGAGTGAGTGAAGAAGAAGAAGATGATGATGATGATGATGATGATGCAGATGATGATGATGATGATGATGACGATGCTGATGATGACGATGACGATCATGATGATGATGATGACGATGATGATGATGATGCTGATGCGAATGATGATGATGATGATGATGATGATGATGATGATGATGATGATGATGATGATGATGATGATGATGATGATGATGATGATGATGATGATGATGATGATGATGATGATGATGATGATGATGATGATGATGATGATGATGATGAGAGTGTGAGTGAGGGAGTGAGTGAGGGAGTGAGTGAGTGAGTGGGCGGGTAGGTGGGTGAGTGAGTGGGTAAGTGGGTGAGTGACTGCGTGAGTGAGTGATGATGATGAGTGTGTGTGTGTGTGTGAGTGTGAGTGGGTGGGTGAGTGTGTGAGTGAGTGTGTGTGTGTGAGAGTGTGTGAGTGGGTGAGTGAGTGGCTGAGTGAGTGAGTGTGAGTGATGATGTGTGTGAGTGATTGAGTGAATGAGTGTGCGACGAGAGACGAGGAGAGGGTGTATTCTCTTGTTCCTGCGAGGGGTGTCTAGAGGAAACAAGAACCCCACTTTGGATGTGGGGAAAACGTGGAATCATCAACAGAAAATCAATGAGTGTTGCTTCTTGTGGGCCTCTTTGGGGTCCTATTGGAGCGCTCTTGGGGCTTCCTTGGGGCTTCTTGGACCGATTTGGGGCCATCTTAGGCGTCTCGGCACACTCTCGGGCCATGATTCCGATTTGTGGGCTCTTGTGGAGCTGCCTTGAGGTCCCTTGGGCCGCTCCTGGGGCGATATGGAGGGCCCCGAAAACCGCCCCCGAGAGTTCCCGCATCCTTGAGCGGACCTTGCCGGGACCTTGCCGGGAGACGGCCAGGGTGCTGTTCGTCTGGGGACCCCCCGGGGCCGCCCCGCGCGCGCAAATTAGAATACACTTATATTATGTGAACCAGTTGCCAGAGATCCTAGCACGCCTTTGGCCCGTTGGGCCGACGAATTGTGATTGGCCCTAGCCGCTTGACCTGGAGCTTGCCAGACTGGTGGTTTTCCCCTCGTGGCGAGGTCCACAGCGCCCCCTTCGAGAGGATTCGGGCGCACAGTTCGGTAAGCGGTAAGAGAAGAAGGAGGACCAGAGTAAACCCAAGACGTATCACCGATGCTGCAATAGAGTCAGATCGTTGAATAAGGTCCACTGCTTTTCGAAAGGGGCTCGGCCGTTCCTTAGGTTTGCATGCGTTCCGTTCCTTTTTTGGTGGCGAGCCTCCCTGGCGTTTCTTCAGACTTCATGGGCTTAGTTGTTGGACAGAAGGGGCTTCGTTCCTGATCTATCTTTCCTGAGGTCAGCGCCCCGCTTGCACACCCGCTCGTCCCAAGTTCCCCTTTCACGAGTCCCTACCGGCATTCGTTGGCGCTGCTGGAAGCGCCCCCTCGAGAGACGAGCACCCGATGGGCCTGCCATTGCCCCCTTCGGGAAAGGAACTGATTGCCTTTGTGGCCTTACAGCGGGTTCGGAGGATCAACTTCGATTCGTAACTTTGCTCCGCGAGAATGAAGTTCGGCCTTGCCGCCCCTCTCCCCCGACCAGCTCTGTCTCGGCCGGAGCTAATCAACACTAGAGGGTGAAGGGGGGGATGCTTCAGGGTTAAATCTCAGCGAGTTTCCCAGCGAGCGCCCCGCTTTCAACACTTGTGCAGAGCAGCCGCCGCGCGTCCATGTAATTGGTGCACAGGTTTACACTTCTGGCCATAACTTTGAGTGCGGAAGCAGAGGAGAATAGGAATGTTTTTTTCCAACTCAGTGCGGAAGGCCTCCCAGTAGTCGCCACACTGGGGCTGGCTTCGCTGGCAAAGCTCGCTGGGCCTCAAATGGCAGCTGCACTGTGCTCTTCTTTCTGCCTCGGCTTTTGTCGCCAAACACCAAGCCAGATGCGCCACCACCTACGGCGGCGGCAGTGGTCAAGGAATGTGTCTAGGAGGCTTGAGACCCTGGAGGATTCCTTATCTGATGAGGGCGGCGGTGATATCCATGGCCAAGCAACGATTGGATTCCACTGGCTTCCAGACCTTGGATTGCTTATTTAAGGGTTCCATATCCAATGCACACCACCTACCCCATCCAATCTCCATTCAACTTCTTGCTGCTGGTCCTGGTCGTCGCGCCCGTCCCCTCTCGCGCGCCGAAGGCCAACCACGAATACTTCTCCCAGACCAGGTCGCTGCAGAGGCTGGACCCCCGGCGCGGGCCCCAGCGCTTGGCAGCCGTTCTGCGGGTCGTGGCTGGGGCTCATGTTGGCCCGGGCCTTCGGAGTAGGAGGGAGGAGGGGGAGTGGAGTCGGGGGCGGCCAAGAGGGGGGTGATGACTAGGGGGGTGGATATCATGGCGTGGGCCATGATATTTCCCCAGATTTCATGGCGCCTCTTCTTATTACAATACGTCCCTGGCCCCCAACCTGGGCCGCGCACATACCGCCAGCCATGATTTGCGCCCCCCCTCTTTGACGCCCCCCTCTTGGCCGCCCCCGATGGAGGGGAGTAGGAGGGGGTATGATCGGGTATAGCCAGGACCCCATGCAAGGGGACCCGATTAGTAGCGGGGCCCCGGAGCCCCAAAATTGGCCAGAATCACTAAACCAGGTCTGCCGTAGCTGGTGTTTTTCGGGTGACGGCAGTTTCGGTTAGTGGAACGGGGCCTGGGGGGCGCCCCCCAGTACACATCATTACACCAGGTCCCACTAAACCCAGTTCTGCCAAGGCCCGATAGGAGGGAGCTGGGGGAGTGGAGGGGAGGAGGAATATGAGGTACGGGAGGATGGTGAGGAAGATGATTATGGTGGTGGTGGTGATGATGATGATGATCATGATGATCACGATGGAGAGGATGATGAAGATGATGATTATGACGATGATGATGACCATGATGATGCTGATGATGGTGATGATACTGATGATGATGACGATGATGCTGACGATGATGAGGAAGATTATGCCGACCAGGATGATGATAAGGATGCGGCTGATGATGATGATAATGATGATGATGATGATGATGATGATGATGATGATGATGATGATGAGGAAGATGATGATAATACTGATGATGTTGATAATGGTGCTGATGACGATGGTGATGATTATGATGCTGATGGTGATGATGCTGATGAAGCTTATGTGGAAGATGCTGTTCATCGGGATGAGGGTTGATGATGATGGTCAGGAAGAGGATGAGGCTGAGGATGAGGATGAGGATGTGGAGAAAGATGCTGATGATCAGGATGAGGATGCAGATGAGGATGAAGATGGTGATGATGGTGATGATGATGATGGTGATGGTGAACATGATTATGAGGCAGATCATGCTGATGATAATGATGCTGATCATGATGATGCTGCTGATGATGATGGTGATGATCATTAGGGACATGATTATGCTAAGGATGAGGATGAGGACGAGGATTATGGTGATGATGAGGGAGATGAGGAAGATGATGATGACGAGGAAGGTGACGATGCTGATGATGATGGTGATGATGATGATGATGATGATGATGATGATGATGATGATGATGATAATGGTGATGATGCTGATTTTGGTGATGTTTTTGATGATGGTGATGGTGCTGGTGATGATGATAAGGAGGAATACACTGGTGATCACGATGCAGATGATAATGAGGATGCGGATGAGGAGCGAATGATGATGCTGAGGCCGATTTATGATGATGCAGAGGAAGATGAGGATGCTGATGATGATGATGATGGTGAAAAAGACAGATGATGATCATCACGATGAGTATGAGAGTGAGGATTCTGATGATGAGGAAGATGCGGATGATGCTCAGGAAGATGACGCTGATGATGATGATCATGATAGGGATGCTGATGACGATGATGATGCTGAGTATGATGATGATGATGATGATGAGGATGATGATGATCATGATGGGGATGATTGATACTGAGGTTGATGATGCTGATGATGGTGATGCTGATGATGCTGACGATGCTGACTGTGATGGTGGTGATGATCAGGATGCGACTGAGGATTACTAGGACACTGATGATGTTGACCAGGGAGAGGATGATGATGCTGATGATGTTGAAGATGGTGATGGTGATGATCATGATGATGATGCTGGTGATGATGATGATGGTGATGCTAATGGTGAGCTAGAAGGGTAAGAAGGAGGATGGTGATGATCATGCTGATGATTAAGTTGGGGATCGTGATGATGCTGATTTTGATGATGATGATGCTGATGATGATGATAACGCAGCTGATGCTGCTGCTGATGATGATGATGAGGATGCAGAAGAAGATGCTGATCATGTTGATGATGAGCATGTTGGGGATGCGGCTGATGATGCTGATGATGATGACGAGGCTAAGGATGATGGTGTTGACGAGGATGATGATGATGATGATGATGGTGATTGGGATGCTGAGTTTGATGATGATGACGATGATGATGCGTTTGATGATGCTGATGATGCTGAGGATGCGGGTGCTGATGATGATGATGATGATGACGATGATGATGATGATGATGATGATGATGATGATCATGATGATTATGCTGATGAGGATGCGGATGAGGATGTTGAAGACGAGGATGATGATTGGGATGAGGATGATGATGCTGCTAATGATGCTGATGGTGTTCCTGATGCGGCTGATGATGATGGTGATGATGATGCTCAGGCTTTTGATGTGGATGTGTGCGATGATGCTGATGCTGATGCTGATGATGATGATGACGATGATGATGATGACGCGCATGATTCTGTGATGGTGATGCTGATTTTGGTGACGAGGAAGCTGATGGTGACGATGAGAATGGTGATGATGAGGCTGATGCTGTTGCGGATGCAGATGGTGATGATGAGAAGGAGGAGGAGGCGGATACTGATGATGCTGATGATTATGACGATGCTGCTGATGATGCTGCTTCTGCTCGTGATGATGATGCTGATGATGTTCCTGTTGCGGCTGGTGGTGGTGATGAGCAGGGTGAGGATGAGGAATGCGTAGGTTGATGATGATACTGATGCCAATGGTGCTGGTGTTGTGGCTGATGATGATGATGTTGATGAGGATTAGGATGAGGGTGATGATGATGGTGAGGATGATGATGCGGATGATGGTGATGACGATGATACTGATGGTGATGATGATGCTGACAGTCATGCTGATTATGATGATGATGGTGATGCTGGTCACGATGATGAGGATGAGGGTGGTGATGACGGTGATGAGGATGACGATGTTGATGTTCATGGCGATGAGGATGAGAACGATGCTGCTGATGCTCATGATGATGCTGATGATGAAGATGGTGATGATGACGAGATTGATGATGACGATGATGATGATGACGATGAGGGTGAGGATGCGGGTGATGATGATGATGACGGTGCTTCCTACAGTGATGATTGTGATGCTGCTGATGGTGATGATGACAATGATGGCGATCATGATGATGATGATGCTGATGATGATGATGTTGCTGCTGCTGATGATGATGATGTGGCTAATGATGATGATGCTGCTGACGATGCCGACAAGTTCGATGATGATGCTGATGATGCGGATAAGGATCATGATCAGGATGATGATGATGGTGACGATGACGATGACGAAACCGATCATGATGTTGTTGGGGATGTCGACGACGATGCTGATGGTGATGATGATAGGGAAGACGATGCATCTGCTGATTATGATGATGACGATGGCGATGACGATGATGCTGGTGATGCTGATTATGATGACGCTGATGAAGAAGATCATGATGATGATGATGATGATGATGATGATGATGATGATGATGATGATGATGTGGGTGATGATGATCATGATAGGGATGCTGATGATGATGATGAGGATGCGGATGCTGATGACGATATTGATGATACTGAGGATGAGGGTGAGGATTGGGGTGACGATGAGGATGCCGATGACGCTGATGATGTCTATGAGGGCGAGGGTTATGATGATGATGCTGATGATGCTGATGATAATGCTGACGATGATGCTGATGCTGATGCTGCTGATGATGACGACGACGATGCTGATGATTATGCTGATTATGCTGATGAGGATGATGCTGATGGTGGTGATGATCCTGGTGATAGTTATGATGATGCTGATGATGATGATGATGATGATGATGATGATGTTGATCATGCTGATGATGATGACGACGATGATGATGCTAATGATGATGATGGTGGTGGTGGTGATGATGAGGAGGAGGAGGATGAGGAGGACGAGGAAAAGCAGGGGGAACAATAGGCGGATGATGAGGAGAAGGAGGAGTAGGACGAAGAGGAGGACGAAGAGGAGGACGAAGAGGAGGACGAAAAGAGGGGCATAAAGGAGGACGAAGTGGAGGACGAACAGGAGGATGAGGAGGAGGAGGAGGAGGAGAAGGAAGAGGATGAGGAATGGCTGCCGAGGAGGAAGAGCGGTTGGGCTGACCTGAGCTGTTGCTGTACGCCTTCGTCGCTGAGGTCGTTCACACCGACATGCCGACACTGTGGTCTTGTAGGAGGGGTGAGGGTGAGGGTGTGGGTGGCGGAGATCGAGTTTTCCGCTGCTCGCTCTCTTCCTTGCGCCGCCAGCTGCAGCAGGCTTTCAGACGCATCGGCTCCCGCCGAAGGTCCTCAACGTGAGATTGAATGCCTCCCCTCTTATACCTCGCCGTTTGTGTTGTTCGCGCGCCTCACCTCAACTTGACAGGGGGGGGGCGGGCCCGACGCTTCCCGACTTGAACGCGCCTGGCATCGACAAATTTCGCGGCAGTGAAGAGATGTGCATCAGTGCATGCAGCCCCGGGATTCCTCGCGCATGCGTGCAATTGCATGGACCATATGAGTAGTGCACAGGCGCTTACAACTGCCATATGGAATGTGGAGGTGGGCCGTGACTTTCAGAACTTGGCGCGCAGCTCTGATCGTGCGCCTTCGCTGGCTAACATCGAATGCCCTTCTGTTACTTGCGACAGACAACAGATCTGGAACATCGAGGGCCCCGAAGTGGTCGACATCTTCCAGCCACGCCGTGCATCAGTATCTCGAAGGCTTTGCGAGGGGCATGTCGGCGAGCAGTACTGCCAGCAGCTGGAGGCCATCGCGAATGCGCCAAGGGCGACCTCCTCGTGCGATCGCTTCACGGCATGAGAAGAGGATCGCGCTGGGGCGCGATGTGGTTCATCTGGCTTCGGCGTCTCGCTCAGAGCATCTTCCGGTTCGGGAAGCATTGTGGTCCGTCAGCAATGGTCAGGCAAGATGCTACCAACGGAGGTTGCAAAGTTGTTGTTCCAGGTTGGCTTTTACCTTCTGGTGAGTTGCTCGAGGCATTCATCCGCTGGCGAGGCCGTCGTGATTCGTTGGGCTTCTATGCTTGTCCATCGGGTTGATTGTTGAGCTAAGCGCTTCACCATGGTGCAGGCATGGTGCACTGTCAGTGTGTATATATGTATGTACGTATGTCGAGAGAGAGAGAGAGAGAAAGCGCTGGAGCACCGCTGGTGCCTCTCCCATACTTCACGATTCCCGACGTCTTCGCTGAGAGCGCGAAGCAGTCAGCAGGGTGGTGTCTCGTGGGTGTCGAGCATCCGAAAAGGCGGGCGCCATGCGCTTCCCAAGCCAGGCGCAGCACCGACTGTGGCATCATGCCGTCGCGCCAAGAGTGTGTGCGGGGGAAGGGCTCGGGCTTTGTCGCCGACGCCAAGCTGGATAGCGATCGTTGCGCTAAGCGTGGCAGGGAATCTGTGCTTGGGGACATCCGAAAGGGGGCCCGCGCCACGATGCGCAAGTACATGGGGCCCACCTGCCGCAGGATATGGCGGCATGGGGACAAGGCCGCAGAGCGTGGGGGCAGGCGGGCAAAGAAGTAAGGGCTCGTGTCCGAGTGCGACGCGGCACGGGGGCAGGGAAGTCCTGTTCCTTGCTCCTCTTCTCATCCCTGGTGCCTCCCGTGGTCTGTCTCGCCCTCCTCCCTTGCTCGTTCTACCCTCCCGTTTCTCCTCCTGTCCTGTCTGCCCTCTCCACCATTCCTCCTCCCCCCACAATCCGCCTCCTCCTCCTCCTCCTCCTCCTCCTCATCCTCCTCTGCATTGTCACTCCCAAGTCTACGTCGACTTCTCCCCCCCTACCCCATCGTCCTTGGTATCACCTCTTTTCCAGCCTCTTCCTCCTCCTCGCCCTTCTCATCATCGTCAACACCCCCCCCTGTTCCTTCTCATCCTCATCCTCCTCATGCGTCCTCCTCCTGCCTCCTCCTCCTTCCTCCTCTCTCCTCCTCCTTCCTTCTCCTCCTCCTCCTCCTCCTCCTCTTCCTCATCCTCCTCCGCTTCCTCCTCCTCTTTCTCCTCCTCCTGCGTTCTCCTCCTCCTTCTCCTCTCCTCCCTCCTCCTCTGTCTCTCCTCCTCCTCCTCCTCCTCCTCCTCCTGCGTCCTCCTCCTTTCTCCTCCTCCTCCTCCTCCTCCTCCTCCTCGTCCTCATCTTCCTCCTCGTCCTCCTCTTCTTCCTCCTCCTCCTCCTTCCTCTTCATCCTCCTCTTCCTCCTCCTCCTCCTCCTCCTTCTCCTCTGTCTCCTCCTCATTCCCCTCCGCTGTCTCCTCCTTTTCCCTTCTCTCCCCCAGCGGTCGCTCGGTGCGCCCGTCGGCCTCCCGAGACCCAGCACGAGGCAAACACTGCTCCGTCCATGATGGTATTCCTCCTTCTTTTCCTCTTCCTCCTCCTCCTCGTCCTCCTCCTCCTCCTCGTCCTCCTCGTCCTCTTCCTCCTTTTCCTCCTCCTTTTCCTCCTCCTGTTCCTCCTCCTTTTCCTCCTCCTCCCCCTCCTCCTCCTCCTCGTCCTCCTCGTCTTCATCCTCCTCCTCCTCCTCATGTTCCTCCTCCTCCTCCTTTTCCTCCTCCCCCACTCCTCCCCCCCCGCTCCTCCACCTGCCCCTCGCCCCCGCTTCTTTCATCCTGCCCCTCCTTCTTGCCCCTCCTCCTTCTTGCCCCTCTCCCTCCACCTCCCCCCCTCGTCATCCCCGCCGTCCGCCAAGCCGTGTGGCCTCAGGTACAGCCCCATCTTCCTCCCGGGCGGCTTCCGCGACAGCGTGGCAGACAGGCCAGGCTTGTGGTCGCCCTTTCGCGTCACGTTCTCCTGCTGCTGCTGCTGCTGCTGTTGCTGCTGCTGCTGCTCAGGGCGAGGAGGAGTAGGAGGAGGAGGAGGAGGAGGAGGAGGAGGAGGAGGAGGAGGGTTGGAGGAGGAGGAGGAGGAGGAGGAGGAGGAGGAAGATGAGGATGGGGAAGTCCCCAGGACCCAGGACCCGTTTCCCTCAGGACTCGCTTCCCAAATATTAGCAAAGAGTGTGGGAGGGCTGGAGTGGTGCTAACCATGCGGGGTTTACACGGTGGATCAATGCTCTCTTTCAGATTTGGCAGCACAGTGTCCTAATAGAGGAGGCGTATGTGGAGTATGCAGGAAGACGCAGCAGCAGGAGGAGGAGGAGGAGGAGGAGGAGGAGGCGGGGCAACGAGGGAGAAGGAGGAGGGAGGAGTTGGAGGGGCCGGATGGGGGAGATGGAGGAGAACAACGGCGTCGACGAAAAGGTCTTCCTCCACCTCCTTCACCTCCACCTCCACCTCCACCTCCACCTCCTTCTCTTCCTCCTCCTCCTCCTCCTCCTCCTCCTCAAACCTCGTTCTCGTGGCACTGCCGCGCCGCGGTGGACCAGCTGCGTGCGCCTGTGGGCCGCCGCGACAGCTCATGCGAGCCAGGTTGCCGTTGAGTCTCGCGAGGGGCTCCCCTTTGAGCTAACCTATCGTACCCTTCTTCGTTCTCACGTGGTTGTTCATGCGCCACTCCGGCCTGACTGAGGCATCTAATCGGAGGTCGTATGGAATACGTTCTTCACAAAAGTGCGCAGCCCTTCAGGCGCACGCGCCCCCGGGCAAAAGGCACTCCGTCAAACTGGGAGCACTCGGCCCGGGTGGTGCGCTGGAGTGTTGCACTGCAGAGAGACCACAACTTCCAGCATTGCTGTTGCAGAGATGGCGAACCAGATTTCACCTCCCTCCGAGGCGGGAACTTATACATGACCACCGCCTGGAGGGTCAGTTTTCGGAGCCTCGGCAGGCGGTGGATATGGACACACTCGGGCCCCCGGGGGCCGATATATATATATATATATATATATATATATATATGTATATATATAATATATATATTATCCATATCCATATCCATATCCACCGCCCGCTGGGGCACCAGGACGTCGCTTCCCAGGCGGTGGATGTGGACAAATCCCTGCCTCGCACTCCCCGCGTCCACCCCGCCTGCCTTCCCCCCCCCCCCGCCCGCCACCGTCGAGCCCACCCGCCGCCCAAGAGAGCCCCTTCCCAGGTGCGAGCCCGGGGCGCCACGCCCTGAGGGCCCCGGCCGGCGGGCGCCGCGCCCTCCGCCCACCCAGGGCGCAGCGGCCCCCCCCCCCCCCCCCTTTCGAGCAGTGGCGAGGCGTTCTGGCGTGCCTGTAGCCCTACCAGGCAATGTTCTGGGAGCCTTCTGTGGGTTCCACGAGGTGTTCTCAGAGCATCCCTGGCGGAGTCCGTCTCGTGTTTGGCACATGGAGAATCGGCTCTAAGAGCAGTGTTCTTGGTCTCTGAACACTCGTGGGGTTCCAAAAACATTTCGTGGTAGGACTATAGGAATGCCGAGACGGTCGGTCCCTGCTCAACCCTTGAGCATCGGAGGAGGCCAGGAGCTCCGGGACAACGACAGTTGGGTGCAAGGTGTCGGGGCCCTCGAGGTGTCTACGAATACATTTCTTGATGCGATTTCGTTTCAGTTTCGCTCCTTTTTCGTTCCAGACTCGCTCCTTTTTCGTATCACTTTCTGTTCAGTTGTGTCCCAGATCGAAGCGTACCCAATAACGAAATTGGAACGAACGTCAAGAGCGCGTGCGGCATCACAGGTTCCCCTTGACCTTGCACCTGACCGTAGGGGGGGATGGGCCCTTTGGGGGGGGAATGACCCCCAAGCGCCCATTTAATCGCTGATACGGAGGGGCCCGATAGCCCCACCCTGCCCCAGGAGCGTGCGGATTCGCCATCCGGAGCCCATCACCGATCCATCAGCGATACATCGCCGATTCCAGCTCGATGCCCCCCCCCCCGAGCTAGTTTTCCCCCTATCGCTGCACCTCCGAGGCGGGCACAACCACCATCGGAGGAGGGCCCTCGGAGCCTGACGCTGTGAGTGGCGAGCATACCCATGTCCGCGCTCTCCGGTCTGGAGGGGGACGAGGAGGATGAGGAGGACGAGGAGGAGGAGGAGGAGGAGGAGGAGGAGGCGGAGGAGGAGGAGGAGGAGGAGGAGGAGGAAGAGGAGGAGGAGGAGGCGGAGGCGGAGGAGGAGGAGGAGGAGGAGGAGGAGGAGGAGGATGCGCGGCGCCAGGGCGAGAGCTCCATTTTCAAAACGACCGGCCCTCTGTCCGTCCACTGTGCGGTCGGATGCGCCACGCGCGGGCCATTCGCCACGAAGCGCCCCGTGTCCACGGGGTCGCGGTCCTGGGGCCCAGCCCGCGAGGCCGTGGACATGTTGGATGTGTCGCCGCTCCGCTTATTCCGGCGCGCGGCGATCTCCGTCTCGGGGACACTCCGCCTCGGGCGCGCAAGGTTTGCCGTTGGTGTGCCGTGGCGTCGGCTTCGTGTATTTGGGGGCGTTGAAGACAAGTGGCGCGGCGAAGATGGTTCTCTGGGCCTCCTGGATGGGGTCGAAGCAGAATGGGGTCGGAGAATCGCGCCGCATCGCCGATGCATCGCCGATGCGGCGCGATCCTCCGACCCCATCTACGCACTCGGACCTCATCTAGGAGGCCTCTACATCTTTTTCCCGCCCACAACGATGCGGCGGCGGCATTGGATAAGGAACGCCTTCCTGGGGCCCAGACCCTGGCGCATTCCTTCTTGTTTCAAGGCGAGGTGGGTGGCCCACGTTTGGCCGCCCATCGGTCGCGAGACCCTGGGTTCCTCATCGAAGGTATCCTTATCTAAAACCCCCGCCGTAGAACCTCCAGCCTGCCAGGTCGATTAGGACATTGCGCCCCCCTGTCGGTGCTCGGAGAAGGGGCGCCGCGGCCGCAGTGTGCGCTTGCGGGCCTGCGCCTGCCGGGTCCATGGCCCCGGGACGTCTTTGCCAACGTGGGCCTGCCAAGTGTGAAGTCGGGCCTGTCCCCTCTACAGGGGAATTTTGGATGACCAATGATACAACTAGTCGAACAAATACCCCAAAATGGCCAACAAAATACTCAAACAAATCATCCCCGCATTATTTTTGGACTATTTTCGGATATCTCTCCTGTAGAGGGAGAGGCCCGACTTAAGTCAAGTGAGGGAAAACCACCCGGACCCGATATTCGGCGCTTGCTAGACGGCCCTGGGCGTTGGCTACACAGCACTGGCCTGTTCGATTCTTTCCTCGGGTGTGTTGACGAAACGGCTTCGCCTGTCGGGGTGATTCTTCTGGGGACTGATCTTCTGCCCTCGAGCCTGTCTGTCCACCCCAGAGGCCAGTCGAGACCACGGCAACCCTCCCGGGCTTCTCTCGCACCCCTGTGGCCTGCTGAAGGCCTCTCTGGACGCGCAGGGCCGCAGCCGCCTCGAGCGGCGGGTCCGGCGAGACCCCTGGAGAGGCCCCGGGGACGGGCTCCGCGGCGCTGGGCCGGGCGGGAGGGCCGCCGTTGCCTCAACCGGCCCCCCGCCCCCGGCGGCCCGGCTCCTCCGGCGAGGCGGCGCCCGGGGCCTCCCCGAGCTCTTGAGGGTTGGGCGGTGCCCTGGGCGGGGCGCCGCAGCACGGGGCGGGCCTCACCGCCATGGGCCCCTGCCCGGCTCCTGCCCCCGGGCGGCGGTGGCGGCGCCGTCTCGCCCTGCCCCCGCGGAGCGGCGGCGGAGGGCCCTCCACGCCGAGCGCAGCCCGGAGGGCCGGCTCGGGGCGGCGCTCTCCGCTGCCTGCGCCCCCGCTGTCCCTCTTCCTGCTTCTCCTGCTCCCCTGCTCCTTCTTCTCCTCTGTCCCTCCTCCCCTTCTCCGTCTCCTCCTCTGTCCTTGCTCCTTCTCTCGGCCTCCTCTCCTCCTCCTCCTCGGCCTCCTCCTCCTCCTCCTCCTCCTCCTCCTCCTCCTCTTCCTCCCCCTCCTCCTCCTCCTCCTCCTCCTCCTCCTCCTCATCATCATCATCCTCCTCCTCCCGCTAGCCCCTCTGGGCCCAGGTGGGGCCTTTCGCGCGCAGGATTCAGGGGGTCAGCGCGCGCGAGAGCTGATGTCATGGCGCGCCACAGTGCCATGGCGGACTGGGGCGGCGGAGCAACAGCCGCAGCTGTCCTTCGCGGCGGAGATCGTTTCGGCCGCGGTGGAGGCTTCGGTGCGTGCTGCACTGGGGTCTCGCGTCGCGCGGAGCACTGTCCGCCGCGTTGGGGTCCCTGCGAAGGCCAGGCCGTCCTCGCACCGCCGCCGCTGCTGGCGAACGAGGACGGCACCCTGGAGGCGCCCTCACTCGTGTGGGTGGCACCGCGGCCATCATCGAGCCCTGTGACGAGGCAGGGGCGGAGCCGTACTCGTTCGAGGTCTTCAACCGGGGCGGCTCTTTCGGCCGCAAGGCTGCATCAGGAGGCAGTGAAGGTGGGCACGCGCTGGTCGCGCTGGTCGACGACAACGGCAGCGCGCCTTCGCTCACGTTCGTGGACCCCGAGGACCAGTTCGGACGCGCCGTCGTCGTGGCTTGGAGCCATGCCGACGCCCGTGGAGGAGGTCCCGACGGAGAAGAAGGGCAAGAAGGACAAGAAGGGAAATAAACACAAGAAGAGGCGCCGCTCGGGTTCGCGCTCGGCCAGAGCGGCCAGGGAGGTGGACTGAAAGAGTGGGGCTCGGTGAAGGAGCTCGACGCGGTCTTCGCGGCCGGTGACCTTTCCGGCGCTGCCGAGGGACCTCCAAGGTCACCAGGCGCCGGCGTGCGGAAGCTTGAGACCTTCGGGCTCGACGACGAGGAGGACGGCCAGGACAGCAGCACGAGTGAGGATGCTTTGCTGGACTGGTGCGACAACAGGGTGGTCAAGGAGCTGGAGGCGGCTCCACCGCCCCCGTCGCTGGGCGGGTCGGGCTCGTCGCGGGACGACGTCCTGCGGGTCAACAGCGAGATCTACAAGAAGAAGGAGCAGGTGGCTGCGTCTTGGCGGCTCGCGGACGACCAGGTGGTCGGCACGTTCTTGGGGAAGGGCAACTTCGTGGAGTGCGAGGCAGTGGTGGCGAGCATCGCGAAGGTCGAGGCCTCCCCGTCGCTCCTGCAGCTGGGCGACAGTAGCGTGCTGGACCCCATCTAGGAGGACGCAGAGCAGCAGGAGGACATCAAGGTGCAGCGCGCTAAGGTGGTCATGGACACCCTCCTGGAGCTGATCGGCCTCGGAGAAGCGGGCCACTTCGGGGAGGACGAGGTGTTTCTCGAGGAGTTCTACGCGGAGCACGCCTAGTGGTCGGCAGTCTGACAGGCCCTCGGCATGGAGCTCGTGGACTACCCCAGCTTCGGCCTGGAACGCGAGGAGTCCTCCTAGGTACAGGGTGCCGAAGGCTCGTCGCCTTCCCTGCCCTTAGGCTAAGTAGTGGGCGTAGGTTGCGCCCTGGGGGGTTGCCTGGCCCTGAGGGTTCCGTGGGGTTCCTTGGGCTGGGCTTGTGCCCTTGGCGGGCTGCGGTGTTGGTGGCCTTCGGGCCTTGGCCCTTCTGGGCCGCGTCGCCCTGTCGGACCCCTGGGGGGACTGGTGCCCGCCCCGGGGCTGGGGCGGCGAGCGCGGCAGACAAACCGTTGCGACATCGTCGGTCCCTCGGTCCCTCCTCCTCCCACTCCTCCTCCTCCTCCTCCTCCTCCTCCTCCTCCTCCTCCTCCTTCTCCTCCACCTCCTCCTCCTCCTTTTCCTCCCCCTCCTTCTCCTCCTTCTCCTCCTCCACCTCCCCTCCTCCTTTTCCTCCTCCTCCTCCTCCCTCCCCTCCTCCTCCTCCTTCTCCTCCTCCGCCTCCTCCTCCTCCTCCTCCCCACTCCTTCTCCTCCTCCTCCTCCTCCTCCTCCTCCTCCTCCTCCTCCTCCTCTTCCTCCTCCTCCCTTCTTCCGTTTCCCCCCAGGCGCGTCGGTGGGGCGGCCAGGGCGTTTCGCCAGAGGTTGCGCCACCATTTATGGTCATAGTCTTTCCAGCTCGCAGCAGTTTGAAAGTTGGGGGGCGGGTCGTTTTCAATATGTGGCTCTCGCCCGAGCGCCGAGCACATTCGTCTACAAAAGGCCTGCAGCAGCTTCAAAGATGGAGGGCGGCTGGTTGTCAAAATGTGGCTCGCTTTAGCGCCGCGCGCATGTGCTGGACAAGTCTGCAGCAGTTGCAAGGCCTGGCGGAGGGGGCTCCTTGACAAAATGTGGTTCTCGCTCCCGCGCCGCGCGCATTCTTTTGAACTTGTGCAGCAGTTTTGAGGCTTCGTATAACTGAAGTGCCAGGGATGGTGATCTGGCACGGAATAAGATCGCCAAGACGCAAAGGTCACGTTGATTCGCGGTGATGACGTCGCAGGAACGGTGTTTTGGCACGAGTTAGGACGGTCAGGACGCAACAGTCACGTTTGATCGCGGCGTTGAAGTCCCAAGAATAGTGTTTTGGCATGGTTGCCGATTCTCAGACGGTTGTTTTCCAATGAGGCACTTCCCGCCATGTAAATTCGCTCTTGTAGGGAATTGTGAAGAGGGAATTTGGAGGGACGGTGTATTGCAACATCGTTGATGCGTCTCGGGTTTGCACGAGTCTTTTTCCTCCTCCTGGGCAGCTTCCAGAACGAAAGGAGATCACAGCTGTCCTGGAGTGCTCTCTCAAGGGATTCTAATTGTTGGTTGGTTTTTTTCGTTGGAGCCTGGGAGTGCCATCTGAGTGGACAGCGCAAGGTGGTTGAACCTCCGAGGGGAAGCGTCCTCCTCCTGCTCCTCTGCGTCCTCCTTGCCACAGACGAGGGCAAGGTGCTGATGCCGCTGCCCGTCCCTCGTCGCCACGGCTGGATTCGTGTGGAGGTCCTGGTCACAACGCGCCCTGGGCGGGGACTGGTTAGTAGCAGTTCAGGAGGAAAAGAAACACACAGTCACAATTAATCCTCGATTCCCCAGAAAATATGGGAAAATATGGGAAGGGGGGGGAAGACAGGAACCTAGAAAATATGGGAAAATAAGGGGGAATCTTTTTATTTGTGTGTATTTATTTGTGTGTCCTGGGGCCCCTTCAGCAGTATCGGCATTTTCTGGTTAGTTCCACTACCTTTCCCTGGGGATCCACTACATGGCGCGCTCCAGAGCGGGACCTCTTCTTCGACGTATCTCGCTCTCAGCAGAAGCCAGCGGATGCAAACAGCGGCGGCTCCGCCTGCGGAAGCCATCGGAAGCTGGCGAAAGCTCGGCGGAGGGCGGTGCAAGTACAAGTGAGACGCCAACCCGTTCGTGGAGTGAGGATTTCCGGAGTGGGGCAGACGTGGATCCACATGCCTGGGGCTCGACACATCACACGAGACGCCACCAGCGTTTCCAGCCACCACCAGTGGGAGTCCACCCGCACGCACGGGGGTCCTCTTCCAGAGGGGGCTCCACACGCAAGCTCCAGCGCCCCACACGTGGGCACCCACACCTGCTGCACGACTGGCCCGCCTCGTGCCCGCGCGCTGGCGCCACTGCGGCTGCGCGGAGATCGCCGGCCGCTCCGGAAATCACCTCGGGGATGCCGCGGCCGGCGTCTCGGGGGCACGCGCCGAGCTCGGCCAGGCCTGGGGGGGTCGGAGCCCGCGTGCTGGCGGAGATTGTGCTGTTTTCACACCTCGGGCTTCTGGTCTAAGAACATTGTTTTTGTGCTTGGGACATTTTGGGGTTCTAAGGACATTTCGTGGTAGGACTACAGGAATGCCGGGACGGTCGGTCCCTGCTCAATGCTCCCCCCTGCCTCCGCTCTCGTGGGCCGCCGGCGTCGGGCACGCGTGCCCGCGCGCCCGCGCCCCGCTCGCCTCCGGCCTCCTCGGTGCTCGCTGCGGTCCGGTGCGGTCCGGTGGCCACCCTTTGGGGCCCTCGGTGCCCCCAGGCCCAGCCGACGCCGGGGAGGGTGGAGGCAGGCATCAGGGCATCTCGAGGAGGTGTAATTCGGAGGTGGGCAGACCTATCCTGACACGTCGATTCAGGAATTGGCCGTTTTCGGCTCGCGAGAGGGCGTCGCGGCCGTCATTTTTGCGGGTCCAGGTCCGTTTGTTCCGGTCTTAGGCCGTTTTCACTAAGGGGAGGTCTACTAAAGGGAGGTTTGTCCACCGCCGAGTAATGGAGTGGAAGAAGAATGCGAATAATCACAAGGATACGGATCATAATAAGAGTAATGATAACAATGCGAAGAAGAAGATCAATAGCAGTAAGAAGAGGAAACAACAACACTGTACGGTGCCGGCCTCCTCCTTCTCCTCTCGAAGCGTGGCAGCGCTTGTACAAAGGTTTCGCCGCGTGTGTCTCGAGCAGCCTCAGTTTGTTTCCCCGCGGTCATCATGCACGCGCCGGATTGTCGCCGCTCATCTTGGTCCCCGCACGATGCGCAGGATGTTGATTCGATCTGATGCTGATGATGATGCTGCTGCTGAGGAGGAGGTGCAGGAGGAGGAGGAGTGGAGTATGTCGGTCATGGTGATGGTGGTGGTGATGATGACTATGGTGGTGGTGATAATGATGATTGTGGCGGTGATGATGATGATGGGGGTGGCGGTGGTGATGTTAATGCTGATGAGGATGGGGAGGACATTTACCATGATAATGACTTGACTATGATGTGGGCGATGGTGAGGGTGATGGTGATGATGGTGGTGGTGAGGATGACGAGGACGATAACGAAGGCGATGACAACGCTGCCACTGCTGTGGTGATGATGCTGATGATGATGAGGATGATGATGATAATGCTGATTATGGCTGTCGTGGTGGTGATGGTGATGCTGACGGTAATGACGATGATGATGATGATGATGATGATGATGATGATGAGGATGAGGATGAGGATGAGGATGAGGATGAGGATGAGGATGATGATGATGATGATATGATGGTGGTGATGATGATTTTGATGATGATGATGATGATGACGAGGATGATGCTGCCGATGATGAGGATGATGATGATGCTGATGGTGCTGCGGCTGCTGCTGCTTCTGCTGCTGCTGCTGCTGCTGATGATGATGATGATGATGATGATGATGATGATGATGATGATGGCGGTGGTGATGATGATGATGATGGTGACGATGATGCTGATGATGATGGTGATGACAATGATGATGAGGATAAGGTCGGATGATGATGATTATGATGCTGATGCTGATGAGGATGATGATGGTGATGATGAGGATGCTGATGGTGATGATGATGCTGATGCTGATGCTGATGATGATGCTGATGCTGATGGTGCTGATGCTGATGCTGATGCTGATGCTGATGATGATGCTGATGATGAATGTGATGAATCTGATGCTGATGATGGTGAGGAGGATGAGGAGGAGGTGCTGGTGGTGGTAGGGGATGATAAGGGGAAAGGGGATCCGACGTCAAGGATCTAGGATTAGCCTTTTTTGGTTCTGGAGTCCTCCAGAGGTCTCTGGGGGCTTCTGAGGATGCCGGAGACGACGTTCGTGCTGAAAACCTGGGCGCCCAGTGCTTCGGATCGCGGGCTTCCAGGGGCTTCTTCCGTGGCCCTGGACCCTCAGGAAGTGGCTGACCGCGAAACGTCCATGCAGAAGTTCAAGAGCCCAGCAGATCGAAAGCCTGAGAACGTCAGGAGCCACGGGCAGGAGGGAGGCGCTGGAGAGCGGGAGAGGTAGCGTCTGGCAGATGAGGACGAGGAGGAAGTGGAGAAAGGGGGGGACGATGAGGAGGCCGAGGATCGAGGAGGAGTGAGGAGTGAGGAGGAGAAGGAGGAGGAGGAAGAAGAGGAGGAGGTGGAGGAGGAGTTAGAATGAGTTAGGACGAGTCTAGGACGAGTCAGGAGGAGTCAGGAGGAACCAGGAGGAGTTCGGAGGAGTTGGGGGGAGTTCAGAAAGGAGGAGGAGGAAGAGGAGACGGAGGAGGAGGAGGAGGAGGAGGACGAGGAGGAGGAGGAGGATGAGGAGGAGGAGGAGGGAGGATGAAGGAGGTAGAAGGTAGGGTAGGAGGTTATATGTAGGAAAGGTAGGAAGGTAGGAGGTAGCGGTAGGTTAGGAGGAGGAGGAGGAGGAGGGAGGAGGAGGGAGGGAGGGAAGGAAGGAAAAGGATGAGGAGGCGGAGGAGGAGGGAGAGGGGAGGAGGGAGGGAGGAGGAGGAGGAGGAGGAGGAGGAGGAAGGAGGGAGGAGGGAGGAGGGAGGATGGAGGAGGGAGGGTGGAGGAGGGAGGGAGGAGGCAGGAGGAGCGGAGAGAGGAGGAGGAGGGAGGAGGGACGGAGGAGGAAATCAGAAAGAGGATAAGAGGAGGAGAGAGGAGGAGGAGGAGGAGGAGGAGCAGGAGGAGACAGGAGATGTTATGACGAGTCAGGAGGAGTCAGGAGGAGCCAGGGGGAGTTAGGAGGAGTCAGGAGGAAGCAGGAGGAGTTAGGAGGCGTTAGGAGGAGTTAGAAGGGACTCGAAGGAAGAAGGAGGAGGAAGAGGCGGATGAGGAGGAGAAGGAGGAGGAGGACAAGGAGTAGGAGCAGTAGAAGCAGTAGAAGCAGTTGTAGTGGTAGTAGATGTTGTATTAGTGGTAGTAGTAGTAGTAGTAGTAGTAGTAGTAGTAGTAGTAGTAGTAGTAGTAGTAGTAGTAGTAGTAGTAGTAGTAGCAGTAGCAGTAGTAGTAGTAGTAGTAGTAGTAGTAGTAGTCGTAGTCGTAGTCGTAGTCGAAGTCGTAGTCGTAGTCGTAGTCGTAGTCG